CACGAAGCGCGTGAGGGGTGTACCGTAATTGGTGGCGGGGGCGCATGCGACGGCAGCAGTTGGCTCTTCGGTGGAGCTCCCTGTGGGGGCGACGAAACGTGCGAGGGGTGTACCTAATTCGGCGTCGGGGACGCATGCGGGTGGCACCGTTTGGGCCCCGGCTGGGGCTCCCTATGGGGCCACGAAGCGTGTAGGAGGGTGTGCCGAAATAGATTGTGGGGACGCATGCGGGCGGCACTTGGGACCTGGGTGGAGCGCCCCATGGGGTCACGAATCGTGTAGGATGGTGTGCCGAAATGGATGGCGGAGACGCATGCGGGCGGCACCATTTGGGCCTTGCGATGGGTTCGCTGTGGGGCCACGAAACGCGTGACGGGTGTGCCGGGATGGGTGGCGGAGACGCATGCGGGCGGCACCATTTGGGCCTTGGTGGAGCTCCCTGGGGCCACGAAGCGTGTAAGGGGTGTGCCGACATGGGTGGCGGGGGCACATACGGGCGGCCCTAGCCAGACCTTGGTGGACCTCCCTGTGGAAAGAGCCGGGGGGGGCAAGAGGGTTTCTGAAGACACGGCACCCGCACAATCAGCAAAGATACTACATTGGATCCCCCGTTCCCAAGACAAACAGCCTGGCGAAGGACCCAATCATGAGAAGTGGTGAGTGCCGCAGTTGCGGGCATCGTCTTCAGTGGAGCCCAATATGGACCACGAAACGCTGTACTGTTGGGGGGGACGCCTGCGAACTTTGCCACTGGGGTCTTCGGTGGAACTCCCTATGGGGCCACGAAACGAAGCACTGGGCGGAGGAAACGCATGTGGACGGTGCCATTGAGGCCTTCGGTGAAGCCCCCTTCGGGGACACGAAACGCCGCACTGGACGGAGGAACGGTGCCACTGGCGCCGTCGGTGGAGCTTCCTATGGGGCCACGAAACGCTGCACTGGGTGGCGGAAACGCATGCGGGCGGTGCCGTTGAAGCATTCTGTGGAGCTCCCTATCGGGCCACGAAGCGCTGTACGGGGCGAGAGAGACGCATGTGAACGGTTACAGTGAGGACTTCGGTTGGGCTCCCTATGGGGCCATGAAGCGCTGTATTGGGTTGGGGGAAACGCATGCGGACGGTGCCACTGGCGCCTTCGGTGGAACTCCCTATGGGGCCACGGCACGCTGTGGTGGGTAGGGGGGACGCATGCGGACGGTGCCAGTGAGGCCTCCGGCTGAGCTCCCTATGGGCCACGAGGCGCTGTACTGGGCGAGGGGGGCGCATGTGAAAGGGTCCATTGGGGCCTTCGGTTGAGCTCGATATGGAGCCACAACACGCTGTACTGGGTGGGTGGGGGAGACGCATGCGGACGGTGTTACTGGGGCCTTCGGTGGAGCTCTGTATGGAGCGACGAAGCGCTGTACTATGTTGGGGTACTGCATGCGGAAATTGCCGCTGGGGCCTTCGGTGGAACTCCCGACATGGCAACGACACTTTACTGGGAACCATTGGCGCCGTCGGTGCAGCTCCCTACGGGGCCACGAAGCGCTGTACTTTGTGGCGGGCGGTAGCGCTGGGGCAACGAAACGCCGTACTGGGTTGGGGGGCACATGCGGGCGGTAGCGCTGGGTTCGTTGGAGCCACGAAGCGCTGTAGTGGGTGGGGGCACGCGTGCGGGCGGTAGCATTCGGGCCGTCGGTGGAGCTCCTCATGGGACCACGAAACGCTGTGGTGGGTGGGGGGACGCATGCGGGCGATAGAACTGGGACCTTCGGTGGAGCTCCCGATGGGGCCACGAAGCGCTGTGCTGAGTGGCGGGGGCGCATGCGGGCGGTAGCACTCGGGCCGTCGGTGGAGCCCCCGTATGGGGCCACAACACGCTGTGGTGGGGGTGGGGCCGCAGGCGGGCGATAGAACTGGGGCCTTCGGCGGAGTTCCATGGGGCCACGAAACGCTGTAATGGGTGGGTGGCCGCATGCGGGCGGTAGAGCTTGGACCTTTGGTGGAGCCACGAAACGCTGCACTGGGTGGGGGGGGCGCATGCTGAAAGTGCCCCTGGGGCCTTCGGTGGAACTCCCTGCAGGGCAGCGAAACGCTCTACTGTGTAAGGAAAGCACGTGCGGACGGTGCCACTGGCGGAGACTCATGCGGGGGGTAGCACTCGGGCCGTCGATGGAAGCCCCATGTGTCCACGAAACGCTGCGGTGGGTGGGGGGACGCATGCGGGCGATAGAACTGGGACGTTCGGCGGAGCTCCCTGGGGCCACGAAGCGCCGTACTGGGTGTGGGGGGGGGGGCGCATGCGGGCGGTAGCGCTGGGACCTTCGTTGGAGCCACGAAACGCTGTCCTGGGTGGCGGGGCGCGTGCGGGCGGTAGCAATTGGGCCGTCGGTGGAGCCCCCTATGCGGCCACCATGCGCTGTGGTGGGTGCGGGGGACGCATGCGGGTGATAGAACTGGGACCTTCGGTGGAGCTCCCTATGAGGCCACGAATCGCTATGCTGGGTGGGGTGGACGCCTGCGCGGGCGGTAGCACTGGGAGCTCCCTATGGGGCCACGAAGCGTGTGAACGGTGTGCCGACATGGTAGTCCGATGCAGAGAGCAGAGGCAGGGATGGGGGGGTGCAGGAGAACGCGAGGTGCTGTCCTTCAAAACGAAAGCTCGACACCACAGGATGGCTGGGAGAAATCTTTACCGCTTCAACCCCCAAACACAGAATCCCATCAACAATCCTTGATGGGGCGTTTGGCGGGGGTTCGGGGGGTCCCCTTGCCAGGCTTCCAGAATTCAACATGCGGACATAAGATAAAACCATCTAAAAACAAGAAACCCCAATTCCCCGTGATGGAACATGATTTGGGGGAGGGGTCTGGTCTTTTACCCGCGGGGCCCGCCCAACAACCCCCCTCAATGGCCTCACCCGAAAACAAGTAAACCGCCCGAGACATCCTCTCAATCTGGAACCCCTGGGAGTGCTGAAACCAATGCCTCGCCTGAGACATCCTCCCAAACTGCTCCGAACGCAAGGTGCTGGGCACGCAAAAAGGCAAACCGCCTGAGACATCCCCACACTTTCGGCGCGATCGGGCCCTTGCAATGCCCCCTGGTGGCTCCCCCTTGGAGTGCTGAAACCAGCTCCTCGCCTGAGGCATCCTCACAATATGCCCTGAGCATCGCCATCATCATCCTCATCATCATCCTCATCACCAGCATCCTCATCCTCATCATCATCAGCATCAGAATCGCCACCACCATCATCAGCAGCAGCAGCAACCACGTCATCAGCATCAACATCATCAGCGTAATCAACATCAGCAGCAACATCATCAACCTCATCATCACCATCGTCAACCGCATCAACCTCAGCATCAGCAGCACCGCCATCATCAGCATCATCATCATCCTCAACATCAGCATCGTAGCATCCTCCGCGGCATCATCATCATCATCATCAGCAGCATCACCACCATCATCATCAGCATCACCAGCATCAACATCATCATTCTTACCATCACAATCGTCGTCATCACGATCATCGTCATCATCATCGCCATCATCACAATCGTCGTCATCACGATCATCGTCATCATCATCGCCATCATCCGCAGCATTATAATCATTCCCAACATCGTCATCAGTATCATCATCAGCGGCATCATCAGCATCATCATCATCAGCAGCAACAGCATCAGCATCAGCAGCACACTCATCATCCGCATCACCAGCATCGTCATCAGCATCATCAGCATCATCAGCATCATCACCCTCAGCGTCATCAGCGTCAGCATCTTTTTATATTCCACATCATTGGCACCACCATCATCATCGTCATCATCACCACCATCTCCATCATCCTCAGCAGTATCAACATCATAATCATAATCATCATCAGCATCATCATCATCATCATCGTCATCGTCATCGTATCATCATCATCGTCCGCGCCACCCTCATCATCAGCAGTATCAGCATCATCACCACCACCACCATCATCATCATCATCATCATTGTCAGCAGCATCATCGACAGCATCATCAATAGCATCATCATCGTCATCATCATCAACATCATCATCATCACCATTACCATCACCATCACCATCACCATCATCATCATCATCATCATCATCATCATCGCCACCATCATCATCATCATCGTCATCATCATCATCATCATCATCATCATCAGCATCAGCATCATCATCATCATCATCATCATCATCATCATCATCATCATCATCATCATCCATCATTCATCATCCATCATCACAAATCATCATTAGTCGTGGCAAGGGGAGGAGGGAGGAGGAGGAAAGGAAAGGAGGAGAGCGAGGCCGCCCCCCGGGAGGACCCGCCCGAGGAAGGAGGAGGAGGGGAGGAGGAAGAGGGGAGAGGAAGAGGAGAAGGAGGGATGTGTTGTGAGGAGACCGCGTCGGTCGAAGTAAACAGTAGCAACAAAGTGAGTTAGCAGATAGTAGGTAGCAGTAGTAGCAACAATTACACCAACCTTAGGATACGGAGGACAATTCTGGGTGTTGTTTCAGGTGGTTTCAGGGCTCCCTTCTGGAACCATCCAAAAACCACCCGCAAGGAAGTTCTTTTGGGGGTTAGGGCGGCCTGTTCCCCCAAGAACTTTTCTAAAGGAGTGCTTTCGGAAACGTTAGGGTGGTTCTCCCCCCAGGATTTTGTTGAAGGGTTTGGGAGTTCCACCGGGGCACCACCCAAAGAGGGGTCAGAGGGGGTAGGGTGTTCTTCCAAATTAGCGTGGCGAGAAACCCAACCGTATGCAGTTGTGACTTCCGCACTTGTGGGTATCGTCTTCCGTGGAGCTCCCTCTGGTACTGGGCGGAGGGGACACATGCGAACTGCGCCACTGGGACCTTCGGTCAAACTCCCTCAGGGGTCGCGAAACGCTGTGCTGGGTGGGAGGCGCATGCGGACCGCGCCACCGGGGCATTCGCTGGAGCTCCCTCTTCGGCTACTGCACTGGGTGAGGAGGACGCATGTGGACTGCGCCACTGGGACCTTCGGTGGAGCTCCATCTGGGGCCGCTGTACTGGATGGGGGGGGCGCATGCGGACTGCGCCACTGGGACCTTCGGTGGAGCTCCGTCTGGAAACGCTGTACTGGGCGGGGGGGGACGCATGCGGACTGCGACATTGGGACCTTCGGTGGAGCTCCGTCTGGGGCTATGAACTGCTGCACTGGGTTGCGGGGGGGGGCGCATGCGGACTGCGCCACTGGGACCTTCGGTGGAGCTCCGTCTGGGGCAACGAAACGCTGTACAAGGTGGGGGGGCAGACTGCGCCACTGGAACCCTCGGTGGAGCTCGCTCTGGGGCCACGAAACGTTGTACTGGGCGGGGAAACCGCATGCGGACTGCGCCACTGGTTCCTTCGGTGGAGCTCCGTCTGGGGCTATGAAACGCTGTGCTGGGGGGGGCATGCGGACTGCGCCACTGGGACCTTCGGTGGAGCTCCCTCTGGGGCCACGAAACGCTGTACAAGGTAATGGGGGCGCGTGCGGACTGCGCCACTGGGACCTTCGGTGGAGCTCCATGGGGCCGCGTACTGGGTGGGGGGGGGCGCATGCGGACTGCGCCACTGGGACCTTCGGGGAGCTCCGTCTGGAAACGCTGTACTGGGCGGGGGGCCCGCATGCGGACTGCGCCACTGGGACCTTGGTGGAGCTCGTCTGGGCTATGAAATGCTGCACTGGGTTGCGGGGGGGGGCGCATGCGGACCGCGCCACTGGGACCTTCGGTGGAGCTCCCTCTGGGGCCACGAAACGCTGTACAAGGTGGGGGGGCAGACTGCGCCACTGGAACCCTCGGTGGAGCTCGCTCTGGGGCCACGAAACGTTGTACTGGGCGGGGAAACCGCATGCGGACTGCGCCACTGGTTCCTTCGGTGGAGCTCCGTCTGGGGCTATGAAACGCTGTGCTGGGGGGGGCATGCGGACTGCGCCACTGGGACCTTCGGTGGAGCCCCCTCTGGAGCCACGAAACGCTGTACAAGGTAATGGGGGCGCATGCGGACTGCGCCACTGGGACCTTCGGTGGAGCTCCGTCTGGGGCCGCTGTACTGGGTGGGGGGGACACATGCAGACTGCGCCACTGGGACCTTCGGTGGAGCTCCCTCTGGGGCCACGAAACGCAGTGCTGGGCAGGGGGGGGCGCATGCGGACTGCGCCACTAGGACCTTCGGTGGAGCTCACTCTGGGGCCACGAAACGGTGCGCTGGGTGGGAGAGGCGCACGCGAACTGCGGAGGAGGGAGGAGGGGGCGGAGGAGGGGAGGATGAGGATGAGGATGAGGATGAGGATGAGGATGAGGAGAGGAGAGGAGGGGAGAGGAGAGGAGAGGAGAGAAGAGGAGAGAGGAGAGGAAAGGAGAGGAGAGGAGGGGAGGGGAGAGGAGGAAAAGAAGGAAGGAGAGGGGAGAGGAGAGGAGAGGAAATGGGAGGAGGAACGCGGGGCGCTGTCTCTTCAAAGCGAGGACCCAACACCAGACGATGGTTGGGAAAACCCTCAAGGGGTGTTGTTTCGAGGGGCCACAACCGGACCTGGGACAGAACAACACCCCGAAAGAACATAATACCCTTCGCCGACCAAACTGAAGAGCATTCGAGGGTACCCTCGCCCATGGTGCACGAGAACGTCCAACACACACACACACACACACACACACACACACACGAAAAACATCAGGGCACCCTCCCCGAACCGACCTTGATCAGATGTCTCGGTCCGACGGCAAACGACCTAGGAAGTTCCTCGGGTGTGAAGGGGCCCTGGGACACACAAATAAAGACACACAAATAAAAGGATTCCCCATATTGTCCTACAGTTTCTGGATGTTTGTCTTCCCCACCACTTCCCATGTTTTCCAATATTTTCAGGGGAATCGCCGAGTAATTGTGTCTGTGTGTGTTTCTTTCCCTCCTGAGGGTGTTTGATCCATTGGGGCGGTCGGGGGGTACCTGTTGGAGCCCTCTCGTGGCTGCTACTTCTCGGGACCTGTTGCGCTGGAAGTTCTTGGCGCCCCCTGGGCCCTCTGGAGCTCCCTCGGGAGCACTCGAGAGCCCTCGCGAGGCGTCCTGGCCCTTGTGCAAGATGCTGTGCCCTGTCGCGGCTACACTCCGCAGATTGCGTTCCGCTCTGCCTGCTTTCGTTTTCAGCCTGCAATTTTCCGATGCGCCGTCTGGGCACGGCTTCTTCTTGTCTGGGGACGTCCTGGGGAACCACTGTTGGAGGCCTGGAATGGGCACCAACACCAACACAGGGGGTTGCCTCCGCAGGGGGGGAAGATGCTCCTGAATTCCAGTGTTGGTGGTAATACTTCGGCCACGTTGGAAGCCCGAATATTACCACCATCACCGAGATCGGGATCTTCTTCCCTCGGTGGAGGCACACCGCCGAAATTGGTGTTGGTGTCAGCCTCTAGGCCTGCGACACTGGGGTCATCTGTGGTACTCATGATCCTCCGCGCGTCGGGTGCCCCGGGTGGGGGGGGAGGCGTGGCCCCGTGGCGGGTGCCCGCGTTTAAGGGGAGACTGGCACAAACATCAGCAGCACCGGCAGCGGCCACGTCCTTCCCGTGATCACCAGCATCGCCCTACGCGCAGGTCGGGCCTGGTCCCCTACAGGGGGATTTTGGAGGATTTTTTGTTACAAATAAACACTCCCAAAATGATAGAAATAGTCAAAAGTCGTCCCCAGACTTGGACTATTTTTGAATATCCCCCCTGTAGAGGGACCGTCCCGACTTAACCCCACGCAACCCTCATCGCCAGCGCCATCGCCATGCACCGTCATGTCGCGTGCTTCCGATTGCGCGCTGCCTCGAGCATCATGGCGGAGAGGCTGGACACGAGCGTGCTCCCGAACAAGAGGCCCGACAGGAGGCACACCACCGTGTACAGCCGCTCGACGATGTTGGTGCAGAGGACCTCCATGGCTCCGAGCGTGATCTGGGACATTGCCCAGTGAAAGCTGGTAGCGTACTGGTACCCGAGGCTCCGCTCCTGGGGAGAGACCGCAAGGTACCGGTGCACCGCTGCTCCGTCCTCTCCCAGGGTACGTTCTGGCCAGGAGTTCGAGGCGAATCCAGCGGTGGCGACGGGGGCCTCTCGAGAGGCCCAGACGGGGGAGACGGGCGAAGGGTAGAGGTATGGGGCCTTTTTCTCCTCTGGGATCCGAGAAGTCCACGTTATCCACCGTCATCTGTGCAGCCACGGTCCATCCCCCCTCCTCTCCGAGGCTGCCGGGCCGACCGATGAAGAACCAGAGGCAGGCGATGAAGTGGCCGTAGAGAAGCGTCAGGACGAACATCTTCATGAAGCGCATCAGCAATTTCCCAGTATCGGACATGTTCATCTCGATCGCCTTGGAGGTCTGGCAAACCCAGCTTGCAATTGGCCCCCGCACCCCACCCAATACTCATCCTGGCATGCCTCCCAGCTGCACACAGCCATGGCCACAAGAGCGACCTTGACACTCCCAATGAGGGTCCTGGCACAGGCAGGTGACAGGCAGGAAGTAGAGGAGGAGGAGCAGGGAGATGAAGATGAGGCAACCGACAGGGGAGAGGATGAGGACTGTTGATTCTTTGCTGCTGGAGTGCCGGAGTGGACGCCGCGGCAAGGTCTGCCGGCCGCCCGCCGCCGCGCGGGGCCCCCCGCGCGAGCGCTCGACAGCGCGCGGCGGGCCCGACCAGGGCCTTGAAGAGACGAGCGTAGGGGAAGCCGTCCTGTCTGCGAACTACCCGCCCCCAGCCCAGGCCCCCACGCCTTGCGGCGGGGCGGCTGGGGCGGACGCCGCGGGAGCCTCCATCACGTCGGGCAGGGGCTCGGTGGAGGTGCGGGAAGCAGTCGCATCTTCACCACACGAGCTGCAGGGTGGCAAGGAGGACGAGAGCAGGAACTGCCACGACATCGCCCGAAACACACGCACACACAAGGGTGGGGTGCACACCTGCGATAAGCCCGCAGGACACCGGTACAAAGCACCTGGGGTCGGCGGAAACCCTCCTCTCGCGCCACACCCTCTCCCAAAATCACAGTCGGCAGCAGAGCGCGCCGAGCTGGAGGCAGCCCCCTCCTCCTGCTCCTCCTCCTCCTCTTCCTCCTGCTCCTGCTCCTGCTCCTGCTCCTGCTCGTGCTCCTCCTCCTCCTCCTCCCTCCTCCCTCCTCCTCCTCCTCCTCCCTCTTCCTCCTCCTCCTCCCTCCTCCCTCCTCCCTCCTCCTTCCTCCTCCCCTCCCTCCTCTCCTCCTCTTCCTCCTCCTCCTCCTCTCATCCTCCTCCTCCTCCTCCCTCTTCCTCTCCTCCTCCTCCTCCTCCTCTCCTCCTCCTCCTCCCTCCTCCTCCTCCCTCCTCCTCCTCCTCCTCCTCCTCCTCCTCCTCCTCCTCCTCCATCTTCTCCTCCTCCTCCTCCTCCTCCTCCTCCTCCTCCTCCTCCTCCTCCTCCTCCTCCTCCTCCTCCTCCCCGACGCTGGAGCCGCGCGGAGTGGTCGCGCTCCCTGCGGCTGGGCTCGGCGCACGCCTCGAGCAGCCGACGGGGGGTCGGTGGTGGCGGCTTGCGTCCGCACCGCGCGGAGGGGCAGGAGGACGAGGAGGAGGCCCCCTCCCGAGAGGCAGAACGAGGATGAGGAGGAGGAGGAGAAGGAGGAGGAGGAGGAGGAGGAAGAGGAGGGGAAGGAGGAGGAGGAGGAGGAGGAGGAGGAGGAGGAGGAGGAGGGGAAGGAGGTGGAGGGGAAGGAGGAGGAGGAGGAGGAGGAGGAGGAGCCTTTTCCGCGCTCCCGAGGGCATGCGGGAGAAGACGACGCGCAGCAGACGCGGGCACCCAGACGCGCACACACACACACACACACACACACAGAGACACACACACACACACACACACACACACACACACACACACACACACACACACACACACACACACACCACACACACACACACACACGCACACGCACGCACACGCACACGCACACGCACACGCGCACACACGACACACGCACACACGCACCACGCACCCACGCACCCACGCACCCACGCACCCACGCACCCACGCACCCACGCACCCACGCACCCACGCACCCACGCACCCACGCACGCACACACGCACACACGCACACACGCACACACGCACACTCACGCACACACGCACACACGCACACACGCACACACGCACACACGCACACGCACGCACACACACACACACACACACATACAGGCACACTCGCACACACACACACACACACACACACACACACACACACACTTACACACGTCTTCAAGGCCCCCGCGCCCCCGCACCGAGTCCCGAGCGAACAACATGGTGTGCGAGCCAACGCCCCCGGGTGCCTTCTGCTCGCACGGGAGCTTGCTCGGAGAAAGGAGGGGAGCAGAAGCAAGCGGCGAGTCGAGGAGGAGGAAGAAGAGGAGGACTAAGTATGACGACGAGGGGGGCCGCGAACGAGACACCAAGCCTACCAAAGAAACTCAGACCACCAACCCAGAAGATTAGCTCTGCGAGCGGATGAGAACGGGCTTAAAAAAAACCCACTGCCCACCTTCTCGCCAGAAGGGCCCTTCCCCTGGAGCAGGTATGTTCTCTTGAAGTGCCTTGGGGAGCCCAACGGGGGCCTTCCTATACATGGCCTGGCTATCAAAACCCGCTCGTGACACGCAGCGAGGCGTGCACTCAACACACCAAACCATGGGCCCAATTTTCCAGAGGCGGTGGGAGCTGTGCGCGGCTTGGACGTCTCTCGGGGGCCCTCTACACACCAACTTCACCACATCGCACCACCGAGCACGACCATCTCCGCACGGCTGGCACATGGCCGTTGTCAAAAGCCGGAGTCAGGCCAAATATGCCGATCAAACTATTCCGTCCCCACAACGTCGGCCCGTGCTCCTCCCGAGCAACGCCGCGATATCCCCAACAGTCTTCGGCGACATGATGGCGGCGTGCTCACGCGTCTGGTGGACGCGCTCGCGGTGAAATAAATATCCTGGGGTGCATGGCCGTACCACGTGTGGCGAAGCAGTCGACCTCCTTGTTGTCGTGCCCATTGGCCATCGCGCTACCGTGCTGCCTCGCCTTTTTGTCTGAGACGCGCGTGGCGGAATCCACTCGGCGTGGACATGGTCGTCGCCGAGATCGTCCAACGCCTTCCAGAGCTTGGCCCAAAACTTGGCGTGCTGGTGTGACGAGTGCGTGTGTGTGTGTGTGTGTGTGTTCTGTGCGGTCGACAAGCTTGCCAACCCAGCAACAGCTCCTGGCAGTCAGTGGCCAGGACCAGCTATCCCTGAGACGTGCGCAGGATGGCGTGAGCTGCCGCAAAGAATTCGGCCGCGCCAGACGTCGGCCAAGGGAAGGAGGCGGGTCCCGACGCGGCTGCAATCACAAGTCCTATTCCGTCGATCATGCAGGAGGCCCACCCAGCACGAGATCGCACCTCACAATGCGGATGCAAGCAACTGCCGTCGATGCAGACCAATCCGCTGGTGAGCCGACTGACCGTGCAAGGATGCCAGCGAATCAAAGCATGCGCCACGGGTGGTGGTAGATCACGGGGCGAGTCAGGGAAAAGGCCCTTGCACAAAATCATCGTACACGGATGTTCCTGTACTTGCTGTGCCCTACCCCAAGCCAGCAACTTCCTCCCATACCCATTACAGCCATGCCTTCTGTAGATGTGCCAGCCGCATGTGTAAGCCCTGTGTACGTCGGTGCCCTCCCCAACGCCGCATATGACACACAACAGAAAGATGGCAGCCCCGACTTCGTGGAGTCTCACCTGGTTGAAGAACCCACCTGCCAGCCACTTACGAACTGGGCCAGCACCTTGGCAATGAGCGTCTTGGCTGGTCCTACACTAGAAGCGGTGGTCCAGACAGTCTCCGCATGCCTCGACTAGCAGGTGTTGCCTCCATCATGATCCTGCCTGTGGAAATGTGTGCCGGCTTGCTCAGCGAGCCGACGCTGGTGACATTCAGACCGATCCTCGAGCCTCTCTCGTTGCGCCACAACACACAAACTTTCCGAAGTTCACCCAAACCTAATCAAGGTCATGAGAAAAGCACCTGCCAGTGAGGAGACAAAGGGAGTTGGAAGAAGAGACTGAGACTGGAAAGAGGAGGAGGAGGAGGATACAGATGGATGAGGATGCGAAGGGATGATGATGAAGATGAAGATGAAGATGAAGATGATGATGATGATGATGATGATGATGATGATGATGATGATGATGATGATGATGATGATGATGATGATGATGATGATGATGATGATACTGATGATGATTCTGAAACTGATAATGGTGGTCGATATTATGATAATGATGATTACGGTAATGAGTGATGATGGTGATGATAATGCTGCTGATGATGATGATGGTGATGATAACGATGATTGTGGTGATGTTGATGATGATGATGGTGACGATGATACTGAAGATGGTGATGATGATGATAAGGTGTTGTTGATGCTACTGTTGATGATGATGATGATGATGATGATGATGATGATGATGATGATGATGATGATGATGATGATGATGATGATGATGATGATGATGATGATGATGATGATGATACTGCTCATGATGACGATGATGAGGAGAGGCACAGCGTAAAATGAGGAGTAGGAGGAGGAGGACGAGGAGGAGAGGGAGGACGAGGGAAGAGGAGGCAGGGAGAGGCCTGGCGCAAGAGGAAGTGCATTTCACTACGCCTGCCCCTGCCCTGGGAGCTGGGCGCTGAGACCCGGGGGAGGACGGGGTGAAAGTGACTTTTGCTCCTCGCAGTCACCCCCTCGATGACGCGGGAGATCTTCAGCAGGCGGAACATGGCGAGCAAGCGGAGAAAACGCCCGAGCTTGGCGAATCGAAGCAGTCCAACGACCCGTCGCGGGGCCATCGAGCGTGTGAAGTCGCAAAACATCTCCTTGGTGAACTGAGCGCTATGACACAGTGGGCGTGCGGAAACGGAGAGCAACGCACCCCAGACTGCCCCGGAACGTCAGGGCCAAGCGGCCGGACCCCAGCGCGCAGGCGACAGCGGGAGAGCTCCTCCGTAAGCAGGAGCGCCGTTCGATCCGCTCGACAATTGGCGCGAGCGGGCGCTCGTGTACGCCACGGCAAATGCAACACGTCCGGCCGCTTGATGGTTGTCAGATACGTTTGCGTCTGCGCGGCGGGCTCGCTTTGCTCCACCTCCTCATCCTTCTCCTCCTGACGCTGCCACTGCTGACATGGAGGTTGATCATCAACACTGCCATCCACCTCGCCTGCGGTGGTTGTCCCTGCGATGATACATGAAAAGGCGCTCTCTTTCCTCCTTCTCCTCGCCCACCACGTCCTTCGACTTCAAGTGGTCTCAACTCTGGTATGCACCCGCGCACGCGCGTGCGCGCCGCGCGCAGGCTGGACGGTGGGGATGTGCTCCCGCCCGCGATGACCCCCAAAAAGAAGTGCGCGCGCGTGCGCGCGCGTGCGCGTGCGCGCAGGACGCATCAGCAAGACGCGTGAGCATGTGGTGAACATGTTCTCGTTCGGCGATTCCAAATTGGGCGGAAGGGGGGAGGGGAGGGGCGGGTCTGGCTGTGGACCTCTGCTTGGTGCGACTGTTTGCGACAGGGCGTCCATTATGGGGGAGACTCCACCTGCTCGGCACAGGCGCCACAAACAGCCAGGGTCTAACGCTTCCAGGGTGCCGAGGTAAGCAAGCATCTTGCTTAGCAGGGCTTCGCGGGAGCTGGCAGGGCTCAGCAAGGCTTAGCTTGGCCCCGAGCGCTCTCTGCGGGCTCCTCCGGTGCCGAGGTAACGCTTCCAGGGTGCCCGATGCGTTATACTTCCACCAGATGAGGGGCGGGGGGTGGGGGGGGGGAGGAGGAGGAGGAGGAGGAGGAGGAGGAGGAGGAGGAGGAGGAGGAGGAGGAGGAGGAGGAGGAGGAGGAGGAGGAGGAGGAGGAGGAGGAGAGAGGAGGAGGAGGAGGAGGAGGAGGAGGAGGAGGAGGAAGAGGAGGAGGAGGGGGGGGTTCTTAAAGGCTTGGTGAGGCTACTCCATAGGGGCGTGGAGGAGGGGGGGGCGAAGGCCCGCGCCGATCGGCAAAACAACGACCAAGGATGCGACCACTGAGCCAGACGCGTGAGCGTGTGCGCGCGCGCGTCTTCGGGAGCGCACGCCTGGGGACGACGGCGCGCGCGCGCAGTGCCCAGACTGGCAACGCGCACACGTGGCCTCGGCGCCGCCTGCGGCGCGGCGCGGCTGCGCACCGACGCCAACACCACCACCAACCGGTGTAACTATTCAGGCAACCCGCACCATAAGGACGCACGATGAGGATGCAAGGGCCTTGGGAGGCCACTTCAAAGCTTTTCGAGCGGGGCGCGGGCAACGAAAGCGGCCAAGGATGGGCCGAGGAGACAAGATTCAAGGGTACCCTTGGGAAGGTTGCGAAGCCTTGCTTTGCGGGTTGACTGTGATCCCGCTTGGCCCCTTCTGCGGCTCTGGAACTGCGCCCTTGAAGCAGAAGCAAGTGCCGCACTTCAATGGATCCGTGCACACAGCATCGCCGAGGTCGGCCCGCAAGGTTCCCACGCAGGTCTCTGGACACTGGTCTCGGGATGCGAGGACCTCTTCGGCATGGGTATCCTCACTGAGGGGTCACTCAGCCGATGTCCCAAACGGCTCCTCGCGCCCGATCAACCCTGGCGACTCTCTCTACAACGCTCCACTGATCCTCCCAGTGGCAAGTCGAATGCGTCGCTTCGACGCGGCCCTAAAATCCGCCTGGTATCTGCACCACCTTCCACCCTTCAACGCCACCCCCTAAGAGCAGAGGCGGCTCCACACCCGGCTCTGACACGCACCGCTGACCGAGTGGGGCACCTCCCCAGCGACGACCCAGAGCCCCTGGCTGACGCAGTTACGGTCGGTTCATGACCGCAACATCTCGGCTGCGCCGGCCACCTGACTCATCCCCTTCAGGGCCTCACCTGTGACAGGGGATATGTCGACCCCTATGCCAGGCTTCGTGGGGCTTTCGAAAGGGCCGGACACTTGGGGCCCAACCCTGGGATAGACGAGGGGGGGCGCCCATCCTCGATAGGGGGGTACGTCCGAAGGGTTGAGGAGGAGGGATGGAGGAGGGATGAGAAGGGAGGAGGAAGAGGGAGGAGGAGGAGGAGGAGGAGGAGGAGGAGGAGGAGGAGGAGGAGGAGGAGGAGGAGGAGGAGGAGGAGGAGGAGGAGGAGGAGGAGGAGGAGGAGGAGGAGGGAGGAGGAGGAGGAGGGAGGGAGGGAGGGAGGGAGGGAGGGAGGGAGGGAGGGAGGGGGAGGGAGGGAGGGAGGGAGGGAGGGAGGAGGGGAGGAGGAGGGAGGAGGAGGAGGAGGAGGAGGAGGAGGACGAGGAGGAGGAGGAGGAGGAGAAGGAGGAGGAGAAGGAGGAGGAGGGGGAGGGCATCGCCTGCGACCCTGTATTGCGAACCTCCACCCCTTGCCTTCGCGCCTCCGCGCTGCCACGATGGGCGGCATCCCCGACGCGCCTCGCGGCCTCTCCGCCGCTGCCTCTGCCAGCCTCGGCCCTCGCGACCCGGCCTCCTCCCCAAAGCCGGCGCACCGAGGGCGCCGAAACTTCGCGCGCGCGGGGCGCGAGAGCGCGCACAGCTGCGCGCTTCTTCTCGCGCCGTGCGCCCCAGGGGAGGAGCGGAGCAGAGCGGAGGACGAGGAGCGGAGCCGCGAGGCGCGGAGCGCGAAGAGCGTCGCGCCCACGAGGGCGCCCCTGCGCGTGGCGACGGTCCATCCCCGAGGCCAGCACGCGGCCACAGAGTCCCGCCTGACGCTCCTCCCCCTCTGCCATGGCCGACCGCTCCGCCCGTCCGCCCTGCGGCCTGCCTCTCCGCTGCTCCGCCCATCGCCGCCCGCTCCGCCGCCTGTGGCCTTGCCCCCCCCCACCCACCTACCCGCGCGCCCCGCCTTCCAGCCCTTGGGCGTCGCTTTCATATGGGGGGCGATGAGTTGGGGGAGGGGGAAAAAAGGTTCACGCCTCGGGCCCTGCAGGCCCGTGTTGGTGCCTTGGAGGGCCCGTTTCAGGGGCCCTAAACTGAGCATCGTTTATCCGATGCCTGTCGGCCCATCCCCAGCGGCGTGGCCTGGGCCCCACTGGCCGATTTACCCCCCTAGATGGGGATATAGGCCGTTCCCTTCGGATTTCGAGGGGTGTATCCCCAGCTGGGGGGGGCAATTTGGTGGGGGTCTCGAAGGGGATGGGGATGGGGATGGGGGTCGGATAAACGATACTGATTGCAGCCCTCGCTGCCCCCCAAATGATCGCCCCCCATCACTCGATGGCCCAGCGCCGCAGATGCGCTCCGCGTCTGGATCTGTGCCCGACCCTGGACGAGTCGCGCGTGCTCGCCTGTTCTTGTTTCGCAAGTCTGCCATCGAGAATTCGTGGGAAAACAGGCGGCCCGATCGCCAAACGGCCAACTCGCAGGATGAGCTGCGCCTCGGAAGAGCGCTCCGACTCCAGGGCGGCCGCCGAGGCCGTCAAGATCCCGGGCTACGTCTCCGTTCCGTCTCGCCTCCTCCTCCTCCTCCTCCTCCTCCTGCTCCTCCTCCTCCTGCTCCTCCTCCTCCCCCTCCTCCTCCTCCTCCTCCTTCCTCCTTCCTCCTCCTCCTCCTCCCACTCCTCCTCCTCCCACCCCGCTCCTCCTCCTCCTCCTCCTCCTCCTCCTCCTCCTCCTCCTCCTCTCCTCTCCTCTCTCCTCCCCCTCCCCTCCCCCTCCCTCCTCCTCCCTCCTCCTCCTCCTCCTCCTCCTCCTCCTCCATCCTCCTCCTCCTCTCCCCTCCTCCTCCTCCTCCTCCTCCAAGAAAGAAAATGCTGGGGTGGTAATGCGCAGGCACGGCTCGCACGTGCGTGTGCGACGCGTGAGTGCGCGTGGGTCACGGGCGACGGACGGAGAGCATGGCAAACGGGGCACTTCGGTGCCACTATGTGTTGCTTCACCGGTCAGCCTTGGGCGAAAAGCGCCTGTGATCTCAATGCGGCAACTCGTGCCTGCCCGTGGTCCCGCGAAGCGTTAGGTACCTCCAGCCTGTCGACTTGAGCACCGCCAGGGTCAGCCAGTCGCACAAGACGATGGCGAAGTCGGGCATGAACCACGATTTCATGTAGTCGCGCCGGATTACTCTCAGGTCGAATATCAGCTCCCCATGCCGCTGAGTGGCCGTCAGAAGGCTTACGACGATGTCAAATGTCCAGAACACGGCAGTCACCCAGGCAAACCAGAGCATGGCACCGCTGAGGGTGATCTCCCACGCCACAAGCGCGGGAATCGCCATGACGTCGACCATGAGGAACGAAGCCCCCAAAATATCATACATCATTTTGCCCGTAGAATTCGGATGAATGACGATACGTCTTCTACTCGCAGATGGGTCACCATAGCGGCCGACGAGATCAGAGTTGGACGCCGACATCCCACTGCGCTTCAGTGCGATCATGGAGCTCTTGTTGATCACTGAACTTCTTCCAGCCATTCCCACGTCCAGAACAGAAGACTCGAACATCGCCGAAGCCTCGAGTGGTCCGAAAGCCAAAAACGCAGCGAAGGACCATTGCAAGTTGCAGGTAGGTCGCACGCCCAATGAGCTCAGAAAGATCCGCCGACCGCAAGTAGACCCAGTATTGCCCCAGGATGCTCCAAGGTGGCACCATGTTCTGAAACGAAGCCTTACGAAGGCCGTGATGAACCTACGAGCGTTTCCAACCGAACCCCAACCCAAAGGGTGCCGCGTATCTGTCAGAGGGGTGGGGGCCGCCTGCAGCGGGCGATTCCCTCCAGACCCGGCCAGAATTCTCTGGAGGCCTTAGGAGGTCCCCAAGATGTTTTGACGATCCCGGGGCCTGGCAAAAGCCACTGGAAACCAAAAGCTGCCAAAAAGAACCTCTTTGCCGTGATTGATGCATGACGCGACGAGGTCAGAGTCCTGCTCCTCCTCCTCCTCCTCCTTGCCATCCCCCCCTCCTACCCCCCTCCTCTGCCTCCAATCTTATGGCCAGCGAGCTGGGCCACGTGTCGGGCAGCGAGTCGGCGTTCGGCCCCAGGTCACAGCCGTCCGACCCCATCTCCTCCTGTGTCGGGGGGGGGCACGAGCCGCGGTGTGGCAGGGGATGGACCAGCGTGATGGAGACGTTATGAGACAACTCTTGGGATGTCTTCGTCGGAACGCTGAAGGCGATGAAGCCCGAGTAAACGGGCCATTGAGCCGAATTCGACCAGAGTGAGAGCGAAATTCAGCCAGAGTGTGCGGGATTGCACTGGATAAAGTGGGGTTAAGCCGGATTGACACGGGACTAGGCTAGATTCGACTAGCTTTCGATCAGAGATATACCAGCGCCGATTTTGAATTTAGCGGCCCCCAGGAGTTGAAGCCTTCGACTACGGGTCCTTCTTTCCCCCCGATTGCTAATTGCCCCAGGTGATCCATGCAAGCGGCAATGAGACGCATCTGAAGGACTCACCTAAATTCAGTGGCTATGGCAGGCTAAACGTGCCCCCAAACGTGTGTGTCACGGAGCCGGTGGGCTGGGTTTGCGGGAAACGCTCCCCTCTTGTGGCCAGTGTCTTTTTTGTCTCGATTGGGCCGAGATGTAAACAGCCGATGCGCGGTAATGGGACGGGTCCTGGATAAGATGGTTCAGAAAACAAGCAACACCATCCCACCTACTACCCGGGGGGACTAAATGTATACAAAGAAATCTGGCGCGGGCTTCTGCGTGATATACGCTACGGCACCCGATGGGCAGTAGCGCAACATGGAGGGCCGTACGCGGGGTGGTGTCATTTGTTTCTTGGCCGACAAAAAAAAATCATGGACGTTTTGCGCCGTGCTCAGACTCCTGGGGACCCTCCGCGAGACCTGGGGCTGCCTAAATCGAAGCCATGACGAGGATAAAATCAGGTGAGAATAAATCGAGAATCTCTGAGATCTGGCGGCTCTGGAGGATGTATCGGGCGCCGCGGCCTTCTCAGAGCGTTCCGGATCGCTCCGAGAGCGTTCCGGAACGCTCTGGAACGGATTTATCCGCGTCCTAGCTGGGTTCGACTGTCCCTGGGAGAAGCCCTGGGATACAGGACCCGTTTCCCTCAGGACCCGTCTGCTCCGTGCCAACAAGGGCAGGAACTGCCTGAGGACCACTCACCGGACGAGCGACAAAAACTCTGTTGGAGGAGTAAGGAGGAAGGCGAGAGTCGATGATCGTACGATGCATCTTCGAAGGACTTCGTACGGCCCATCGCGCCGCTATCCGCGTCGAATCCATGTCGAAAACTGGATCCGCGTCAACCCACGTCGAATCCGAACCGAATTAACTCTGAGCCGTGTCGAATTGGCCGCAAGCCCGCGCCGGACACAAGAGGAGACCGCAATTCAGAAGGTACACGAGGCCTCCAAAGATGTAACGCGTCTGATCGAAGTGCTCTCGAGAGCGTTTTGCAATGCCTGGGCTCCCCGAAGCCTCTGGAGGCCCCTGGGTACCCCTGGAGACACCGATAGACTCCCCGGGAAAGACAGACAGAAGCCGTGCACGTCAGAGGTGTGCTGGCAACATTGCGAAAGAGAGATGGTTGCGGGGAGACCAAAAGGTACTGATACCGCTACACCCCGGACCTCTCCTGGGGTGCGTCTGGCAAGAATTTCGAGGCGAACCCAGCGGTGGCGACAAGGGCCTCCCAGGAGGCTCCAAAAGGGGAAAAAGGTCGAAGGGTAGCGGTATGGGTACCTTTTCCTCCTCCGAGGTTGGGTGAAACAGCGAACGTTGAAAAAGTAGCTGGAACAACGAACGTGTTGAGTAGACCAAGAGGACCAAACGTTACTTGAGGCATGCCTGCGACGTGCACCCTGACCTTCTGCAGGGGGGGCGATACACGGACACTGCAGAGAGTGAGTCAGCAGCACCTGCGTTCTATTCTGAGGAGAACAACTATCGTTTTGGGAGGGAGGGGTCGGGAGGATGGAGGGTACGAGAACTAGCATCGGGATGCAATGAAAAATACTTTCGACCGCCTACGGGTAAAGATATCGTCATTTCTTCCAACCCTATGCTCCCAACCCGACAATTGTATTCCTGGTCGTCTGTGGGCGGGTCTGTGCTGAAAACTGCTGGTCTATGGGCGGATCGGCTCTGGGGTCATTCCGGTCTATGGTAGATACGGCGAGAGGAGGAGGAGGAGGAGGAGGAGGAGGAGGAGGAGGAGGAGGAGGAGGAGGAGGAGGAGGAGGAGGAGGACCAGCATAAACCCAAGACTCATCAACGACGTTGAATACACCCACCCTCCAAGAATCCTCTTCACAGGCCTCCACAAGGGGTCATTCCACTGATGGAATTTCCCCGTTTAGGGACAACCGCGTTCACATCTTGCAGCACGCCAGAACTTTATCCTCAAGACTTCAACGCCACGAGTTAATCTGACTGTTAAGTCTTGGCGATCCTGAATCGTTGCAGAAAGCCATTCCTGACACCTTCAACACCGCAAATCAACGAAACAAATGCGCCCTGACAATCCTCACTTCTAAAACACCATTCCCAGTACGTGAAACATGAGAACCAATGAAACCCGTGCACATATTCAAAATGTATGTGCGCGGCGCTAAGGCGAGAACCACATTTTGAAAAAACGCACCGCCAAACACCAACCGCGCTCAATCCGTGAAAGCCCTGCAGTGTCTTGAAAAGAATGTGCGTGGCGCTGAGGCGAGAGTCACATTTTGAAAACGAACCCCCCTCAACAAGTGAAGCCCCGGGAATGTCTTACAACGAATGTGCGCGGCTCGAAGGCGATAACCACATGTTGAAAACCACCCGCCTTCAACCCGCTAAGCTTTTGGAGTTCTTTACAACGGATCTGCGTAGCGCTAAGGCGAGAGCCACATTTTGAAAACCACCCGCCCTCAATCCGTGAAACTCTTGCAAATTGTCAAATGGAATGTGCGCGGCGCTGATGCGAGAGCCTGAAAACCATCCGCCCTCCAGCTGTGAAACTGTTTGCCATTTTTGCAGCACCAGGGTCATATATGGTGAGGAAGTCTCAGGCGAAATGCCCCGCTCGCCCTTTCGACCTGCTCCGGGGTGCGACAGGCAAGAGTTATCTACAAGGAGAAGGAATGGGGGAGGAGGAGCAGGAGGAGGAGGAGGAGAAGAAGGGGGGAGGAGGAGGAGGAGGAGGAGGAGGAGGAGGAGGAGGAGGAGGAGGAGGAGGAGCAGGAGCAGGAGGAGGAGGAGGAGGAGGAGGAGGAGGAGGAGGAGGAGGAGAGAGGAGGAGGAGGGGGAGGAGGAGGAGGGGAGGTGGGAGGAGGAGAGGGGGAGGAGAGAGGGGCCACGGGCATCCCCCCTCCCGCGGCATCGAAGGCATCCCCCCCCCCTCCGAGGAGGAGGAGGAGGGAGGAGAAGGAGTAGTAGGAGAGGAGGAGGAGGATGAGGAGGAGGAGAGGAGGAGGAGGAGGAGGAGGAGGGAGGAGGAGGAGGAGGGGAGGTGGAGGGAGGAGGGAGAGGAGGGAGGAGGAGGAGGAGGGGAGGAGGAGGGGAGGAGGAGGAGGAGGAGGAGGAGGAGGAGGAGGAGGAGGAGGAGGAGGAGGAGGAGGAGGAGGAGGAGGAGGAGGAGGAGGAGGAGGAGGAGGAGGACGGGGGGGAGGAGCCGCTGCCGCTGGCGTTGCTGGGGGGGCCTCTCGCCCAGCCGTCCAGAAGGGGTAGGGGGGGGGCCGAAGCGGGGGCGGATGCCCTTCCGCGGCGTCCGCGGGCCCCACGCCACGGCCCGCGCGGCGAGGCACCCGCGACGCCCACTGGGACGTCGCGGACTGCGCACCCCAGCTGCGACGCCTGCGACCACAGCGAGCTACTAATACACCGAGTCCGACCATGACCGCCCAGAGATCGAACGTATTAAAAAAACACGACGGAGGTTTGTCGCTACTTTCGGCCTCTAGGGGCCCTCGCCGGGCCCCGGGCCCGTCAAAAAACGACGCAGGGTGAAAAACCGGTCCTGGGGAAGGGCCGAGACTTCCGGGGACCCCGTATTGAAAAAAATCACGACGTCGGATCTCTGGTCGCGAGACTCTCCTAAAGCGTCCCCTGCCACATGATGCGAGAGCAGACCGAGCCGCCACCCAGAGGGTTGCACGTGCGATCTGGAAGCGCATCAACACCAACGACTGTTCGAGAGCCAGACGTGCAGGGACCAGCACCGTCCGCACCAAAACTGGAACCAGCAGCGCCCCCGTGCAGCCCAGAGGCGCAGCAAACGCAATCAGCAGCCCTCAGATTGGGACCAGAAGCGCTCCAGCAACCAGCTGGGCCACCACAGGGACCAGCAGCACTCGGACTGGAACCAGCAGCACTCCAACTGGAACCGGCAGCACCTCGACGAGGCTCAGGAGTTCTCCTACGGTGACACGCGCAGCTGCGAGAATCGGGGAACTCCTACGGCCACCAGCACTGCCACGAGGAGCCGGCCTGGGCCCGGGCTGCCTCCGCAGCTCAGTCCGTCCACGGTGGGCGCCTGAAGCGAGGGAGGCCCAGGACGGCCCCCTGATGGGCGCTGGCCCCGAGAGGCCAGTGGACGGTAGGCCCGAAAACAGGGAGGCACCCGGCGCGAGCCAGAAGAGTGCCACACCTGGCCACAGGAAGCACCGCGGGCGCCCACGGGCCAGAGGCTGTCTCGGCCCTCGCACGGCTGCTGTCGGCCCCTCCTGCCGCTCCGCGTCGCCGCGCCGCCACTCTGGAGGCCACGGAGGCCGTCGGCGCGACTACCTGCCCTCAAGGCTTAGACGCAGCAAGGACTCCGGGCCGCCCTTTGGGCCCGCATCGCCAAAACAATTCCTCGCCTGAGAGTGCCGCGCTGTGTTCCCTGGGGCCGCGCGCCCGCTGGAGCCCCGCCTGCCGCCTGAGGCCAGCAAGACATCTCGAAGCAAGCAGGGGCGCCATGAAATGTGGAAAGAGATCATGGCCCTCACCATGAAATCCCCCCCTGCCCTGATCTTCCTGAGTGCTTAAAAAAATAGCTCTCCAGACCTGTAGACCTGTCGGGGCTGCTGAACACCTCGACAGGAATTTGGCCGTCGAGGTCCTGGTGCTTATGTTCAAGCCCTCCTGGGAGGTCGCCCCCCTCGATCCTGGCCGCCCCCGACCTGGAGCGCCGGCGGAGGGCCGAGACTGGACCCGGCAGGAGCAGCTGGCGCGAGCCACAGCGCGGCAACCTGGGGCCCGGGGGACCAGCCGGGCTACAGGAGTGGCTCCGGCAGGGCGCCCCAGACTACCTTCCCAGAGATCGAACGCAGTGAGAAAAATCACGACGGAAGTTTTTCGCCATTTTCGGCCCCTCTAGGGGCCCTCGCCCGGCCCCAGGTACCGTCAAGAAACGACGCAGGGTGAAAAAAAACCGGTCCTGGGGAAGTGGCCGAGACTTCCGGGAACTCCCGTATTGAAAAAATCGCGACGTCGGGTCTCTGGGTCAGCCCAGACCCCCGACCCATGATTTGTTCATAACGTCGACCCTAAGAGGTCTCGACCCATTCATTCCCCAGGGCGGGCTTCTCATCCTGAATCGTTTTCTGACGGTCCCGAAGCCTGGCGAGGGCTCCCAAATGCCGAAAATGGCGGGAAACCTCCCGTCATGTGATCTTCTCACTGCACGAGGGGGTCCGAGAGGAGAGCATACCCAGCCAGGCTCGAGCGGCACCCTGCAGCGCAGCCCAAGGTGGGCACCTCGACAGACGGACCTGGGGCGCCTCACGGTCGGGTGTTGGCAGGACTGGGTTTCGTGGGACCTGGTTCAGTGGTGTGTGCGGGGGGCTGCCCCCCCCGCCCCGGTCCACTGACTCGAACTGCCGTCACTCGAAAAAACACCAGCTACGGCAGCCCTCGTTCAGTGGTTCTGGCAACCCAGACATGCGACGTCCTGATTGTTTCAGGACGCCGTCCATGGAAGTCCAGACCCTTTCCCCGGGGCCCGTTTTTAATCCTGAGTCGTTTTCTGACGGCCCCGAGGCCCGGCGAGGGCCTCCCGAGGCCGAGATTGGCCCAAAACCTCCCAAACCTTTACGACGCGATCCTGCCTGGGAAATTTGGAGGCTCCAGGGACCTGCTACTGACCGGGTCCCCTTCCTTGGGGTCCTGGCTGCACCCAAGTCGCGGGTCCGCGAGGGCAGGCGGCCCAAGGCTGCCTGGGGAGGGCCCTGGCACCGGCCGCTGGCCCAAGGAGCGCGGCCCCAGGAGCCATGAGGAGGAGGAGGAGGAGGAGGAGGAGGAGGAGGAGGAGGAGGAGGAGGAGGAGGAGGAGGAGGAGGAGGAGGAGGAGGAGGAGGGAGGAGGAAGCCACGCCAGCCCACGGGCCAGAGTGCGACGCCAGGAGCGCGTTTCTTCACTTTCGGCGATGATGGGCATCATAGGGAGGGCATGCCGGCCCACGGGCCAGACCCAGAGATCGAACGCAGTGAAAAAAATCACGACGGAGGTTTTTCGCCATTTTCGGCCCCTCTAGGGGCCCTCGCAGGGCCCCAGGAACGTCAAAAAACGACTCAGGGTGAAAAACCGGTCCTGGGGAAGGGGCCGAGACTTCCGGGAACCCCGTATGGAAGAAATCACGACGTCGGATCTCTGGGGAGTGCGACGCCAGGAGCGCGTTTCTTCACTTTCAGCGATGATGGGCATCATATGGAGGCCAGGGTGGGGGGTACAGCGGAAAGCCAGGGTGTGTGGGGGGGGGGAAGGGCCAAGGTGGGGGGGGGGGGGAAGGGGCAGAGTGCGACGCCAGCCAGGGCGAGACACGTCTTCGACGAACGAACAACAAACACACCCATACCCATATGGGGGTCGTTGGGAGGAGGACTGGCTCTGGGCATGGGTGCGGGTTGTCGGACCCTGGGGAACGCTCCCGCTCGAGCGGGGACACCCATCCGACAGCACGCACCCACAGCCCTCTCCGACCCCCCTATGGGTTGTGTGTGTTGTTGGTTCGTCACTCTTCGTCTGCGGCGAGGCGGAGGCCATCCGCACTAGCGCGGGGCGAACCGGGGCCACCGATCGGCAAAGTGTTAAGTCGGGGATTTCCGAGGAAAAATTACACATAGTCAGAAATACTCTAAACTGATCAAAAAAATACTCAAAAATCGTCCCCAGACTATTTTTCTACTATTCTTGAATATTCCTCCTGTGGAGGGACAGGCCCGAGTTAAGCAAAGTGTCGGGAGTCGAGGACGGCCAGGACGAGACACAGACGACCTCGGGCCAGAGTGCCGCCGCCCAGACAGCTGCGGCCGAGGGGGGGGACCCACACCTAGGCACAAGGAAAGGCGACACCATCACCAGCAGGGCGAGGAGGTGCGAGGAGCTGAAGGGGGGTCTCCCTGGTGTTGTGGTCCCGCCCTCTCGCTCGAGACATCCCCAGCCTTCAGCTCGGGGAGGCCTCGTGGACCTTCTCGCTGGAGGTGGCCCAACTGGTGGTGTTGGTGTCGCTTCTCCTCCCTCCCGCCAACCTGGAGAAGATCTACAAGGCACTGCACCGACCTTGCAAACGCGCTGCAGCGGGTTGTTGCGTGGATAGTCGTCAACGCAGAACCCCGAAACGGCAAGCGAAAAGCGAAGAGAGAATCCCGCGCGAAATTCACGTCGAAATCCAGAGCGACAGTCTCCAGGACAGTGCGTGCCCATCCTGTCGTTTTCCGAAAGAAATCCGCTCTGCGATCGGCGCCATGACAGGCAAGCTCTCGCAAAGGTCGCGAGGCTCGGGCGCGCCGAAGAGGCGTCTGGGGAGGTCTTCGAGGCCCGGGAGGGGGACTACCACACCCACGGGCGTGAGCTGGAGGCACAGCACGACTCATGTAGAGGGACGTGCCCGAATTGAGCGTAAAGAATTTGTCGCACACGGCGCCGACACCACAGCCGACCAGCGACAGAACGCACCCAATATAAAGAACAGGCCGTAACGATTCAGAGAAGGCGTCTGTGAGTCCTGGAGTGGTGCAATGGAGGCCAGTCCATAAGAAACCTTCAACAAGAAACCCCACCCTGAGACCCCAGGACGTCCATGGATTTCTGGTGTGGGAACGTCACGCTCTCCATAGCAAAGCCATCGAAACCCAAGCAACCCCAGACACCCTGGAGGCAAGCAGGGCATTCCTTGGCATGGGCCCCCACTGTATGTGAACCCTGGAGTGGTAGCCAGAGAGGGAGAGAAAGAAAGAGGCGCAACCTCCCACGGGCTTCGCAACACCCGTCCCCGCACAAAAGGGGCTCGTTGGGGGGGAAGCCTGCCGTGACCCACCCCGTCCGGGTCGGGCATTTGAGGCTGTGCTGGCGGCTCCCCCCCCCCGTGTGGTGCCCCTCCCCCCCCCTGAGAAACGCCCAACCGATGAGAACCGGACCCCCTCCCGCCACCCTGCTCCCACCCAGAAGGCGGCGGCGGTGACGCGCAGGCACGGGTGGTATCACCGAGCTCCGTTGTCATGATGGCTGGCCCCAGTACCCTCTGAAGCAGGACGGCACAAAGTATGTGTGTGAGGACTGTGTGGGTATGTGTGTGCGTGTGTGTGAAAGGCGGGTTAGGCATGAAAGGCGCGTGTGTGTCTTATGCGAGAAAGCATAGCGGCCTTACGCCGCGGCTTACGCGGGTTGCCAGCGTGTACACTGCGTGGAGACGAGGGCAATTGCGCGCGACGTCACGCGGGAAACTCACGCGCGAATGTTGGCGAAGACGACCCCGTTCTCCTCCGTCTGTCGAATAATGATGGTGATGGTGATGGTGATGGTGATGGTGATGATGATGATGGTGGTGATGGTGCCGATGATGATGATGCTGATGACGGTAATGATGGTGATGGTCGTGATGGCGATGCTGATGCTGCTGATGAGGATCATGATGATAATGAAGATGTTGCCGAATATGATGATGATGTCGAATAAGATGATGATGATGGTGATCATGATGATGACGAGGCGGATGATGCTGATGATGATGACGATGAGGACTATACTGCTGATGATTATAATGAGGATGACGATGATTGTGGCAATGATGATGCTTCTGATGGTAATGGTGATGGTGATGGTCGCGGTGATGATGATGACGGTGATGACGATGATGATGATGGTGGTGATGGTGAAGGCTGTGATGATGCTAACGATGACCATGACGATGACGATGCTGATGATGACGATGACGAATGATGCTGATGATGACGACGATGCAAATGATGATGATGATGCAAATGATGATGATGCGAATGATGATGATAACGATGATAGTTATGATGAGCGCACTGGTGATGACAATAGTGATGATGCTGATGAGGATGGTGCTGATACTGCTGACGAAGAAGAAGAGCATGAGGATGAGGATGTTTCCATTCATCGACGGGATACACAGAACATTCCCGTCGCAGGGCATGACATCCCTTGCTCGCCTGGCTGGGGCGCACCATGCAGGGAGCTCAAAGCGGCTGACCTGCTGCGGCGTGCGGTGCTCGCATCACCTGAGGCCCAAAGCCTGGGCTGCCTCATCATCGGCTTCCCAGTCCATAGGTTGTTCACTGTCTATCGTCGGATGAGGATGATGATGATGATGACGATGACGATGATGATGATGATTATGATTATGATTATGATGATGATGACGATGACGACGATGACGATGACGATGATGATGATGATGATGATGATGATGATGATGATGATGATGATGATGATGATGATGATGATGATGATGACACGCCCTTGAAAGACGGGTCCCCGAGATCCGCACGACTCAGAAGCGCCACCGCCAGCCGCCCCTCGGAGGATGAGGACCCGCACCCGTCCCGTCACCCCGCTCCCACCCGAGGGGGAGGACCTCCCAACGAACCACTGCGGGGCGGGCGCCTCTCCTCTGCGGTCGCGTCCGGGGGGCCGCCGGCGGGCCCTGGGCCCAGCGTCGGGTCGCCCGTCGCCTGGAGGAGGCTTCGATTGTATCCTCGGGACACCTTTAGAGGCCTCCCAAATGGGGTCGGAGCAGATGGGGTCGGAGGACCGCGCCGCGTCGCCGACGCATCGGCGATGCATCGGCGATGAATCGGCGACGCATCGGCGATGCACCGGCGATGCATCGTCGACGTTGGCGATGCATCGGCGACGCCGACGTGAAGCAACTCGGGCCCCACATCGAGCCGCATCGCCGATGCATCGGCGATGCGGCGCGATCCTCCGACACCATCTGCTCGGATCCCATCTAGGAGGCCTAGAACCTTGTCTGTCCCGTCACGCCCCTATCCGCGCAGAACTCGTCTCGAGTCACTGTCGGACTCGTCAACTCCGTGTCGAGTCCACGTCGGAGCCGCGTGGGACTTACGCCAGGTCCGCGTCGGGTCAAGGGCAAAAGAAAAGACAGCGATGATTGGGACAGACGAGGTCCAAAGAAGATGCAACGTAAGGGAGGCAGGAGCGGGAGGAGAACCCATAGACAGAGTTCCAACGCGTTGAAACAATTAGAATCCAACTCCTGGGAGGTCTTCGCAAGAAGGATTGAAGGCGATCAAGCCCGGTTGGGGTCCATTTGGATCCACTCACCCGGAATAGACCCGACCTAAGCCTGGGATTCAGCCGGATGAGCCGGAACTAGCTGGGATGATGCCCGATCAGGCCAGTTCTCGATCACGGATTTACCCGCGCCGATGCGGAACGTAACCTCCCGAGGCTGCATCCTACAAACGAAAGCAGCATGGAGGTTTTCCCAAGCTTTTGGCATCTGTGGGCACGTCCGTGGCGGCGGCGGCGGTGGCAGATCCCGAAGCCCCTCGGCACTGGCCCCTGTCGAGCAGAGGCCGGCCGGCAACACATGTGGCAGGAGCCAGGTCACCTGCATAAGGGCGCCAAGCACGAATCACTTCGCGCTCTCGCGCCGCCTCCCCAAGGGAGGCGAGGAGAAGGAGGAGGAATCGGAGCTGAACCGCGAACTGCGAAGCGCGAACAACTTCGCGCCCTCGAGGCCGCCCTTGGAGTAAGTCGGGAATGTCCCTCTACAGGAGGAAGATTCAAGCATGGTGCAAAAATAATACAGGCACGATGTCTCGATCAGTGTTAGACTGTGTATGCAGATGTGTGGACTACTTGTCCTTTGTCCTCCCAAATTCGCCTGTAGGAAGACAGGCCCGACCGAACCTGAGGTCGGGAGTGTCCTCGTACAAATATATTTTGTGAAAAATCAAAAGTACACCGAAAATAACCAAAAATAGCCAACAATGAAAGACAAATCGTCCCCACACTATTTTTTGACTATTTGTGGATATTCCTCCTGTAGAGGGACGTGCCCGAATGCCACAGGGGGGTGCCATGGAGGCGCCGACACCTCCTCGCGAGGATGACCCCCCGAAGCCCGGTCAGAGCTCTTGCAAAGTCCCCGCCCGCGGAATGGAGACACCATTTGCCGCCAGAGTCCAGCATGTGCGGCACGGGGCGCGCACACACGCAGTGCTGCCAGCGCTGTGGAGACAAGGCGAAGAGAAAGCCTTGGCGGCGAGCCCGGCTTGCGTCGCCTCGGCTGGATTCGATTCGAGGTGCGGGTCAGGAAGCGCTCCAGCTCCGGTCCAGGGGCAGATTCTGAGATCATCCTGCCGGACCGCTGCGCCAACTGGCGGCCGCCCAGGTCGAGAATCGAGAGAGCTCGAGGAGGAGGGGGAGGCGGAGAAGGTGGAGGCGAAGGAAGACGAGCTCTTCTCCCCCGGTGGGCCCCTGATCGGCGGCGCGCCCGGGGGGGTGAGTGAGACGGGGCGGGCCTGCTCGGACGGCTCGGAGGCCCCGAGGCCTGCCGGGACGTGTCCTGGGCCTGCCCCGAAGGCACGGCCAAGGCCGCTCGGGAGGCCAGCAGGGCGTCCGAGGAGTGCCGCCACTCTCGGGGAGGAGGCCTTCTCCTCCTCACCTCGCCCCCATCGCTCGCCGCCGCCAGCTGGCGGCGGGCGTGGCAGACCCGAGCCGGCCCGCGACCAGGACGGACCCTCTGGAAGGGGCCCTGGGGCACACAGAGAAAGAGAAACAGGTAGCAGGACCCCCCACAGTTTCCCACATGCTCTGGGTTTCTGTCTTCCCCCCCACCTCCGCTATTTCCCCATATTCTCGGGGGAATCGACGATGAATCGTGTCCGTGTGTTTGCTTCCCTCCTGAATCTTACCCGAGCGCTGGGCATCGACGAGGAATCGCGTGTCCTTTCCCCTCCTGACTCCTCTTGGCTGGAGGACGCCGTCGCGGGCACCTCCTGCCCAGAGCCTCCTCGGTCCTGCGAGCGCAGGACGCGGGGCCCCAGGAGGCGCCGGCGATCCCCCTCCCCTGTCGTGGCGGCCCCTCCTCGCGGCACCTTGCCGAAGGGGCCCCGGGACACACACAGATACATACACACAGGTATAACAGGACTCGCCACATTTCCCTGTGGTTTTTGGGCTTCTGTCTTCCCCCCCCCTTCCAGAGTGTCCCATAATTTCTGGTGAGGAGGAGGGGGGGAAAGGGAGGAGGAGGAGGAGGAGGAGGAGGAGGGGAGGAGGAAGGGGGGAGAAGAAGGAGGAAGGGGGGAGGAGGAGGAGGAGGAGGAGGAGGAGGAGGAGGAGGAGGAGGAGGAGGAGGAGGAATCGACGATGAGTTGTGTCTCTGTGTGCTTGTTTCCCTCCCAGATCTCTTGCCCGAGGCGCCGGGCCCCCCCCTCGCCACCCCACCTCTGCCGCGGCGCGCGGGAGAGCGGAGAGGGAGGGGGCGGCGCAGGGCTCCCTGCCGCCGTTGTTTTTTTGTTGAGGAGGAGGAGGAGGAGGAGGAGGAGGAGGAGGAGGAGGAGGAGGAGGAGGAGGAGAATGGGAAAGAGGAGGAGGAGGAGGAGGAGGAGGAGGAGGAGGAGGAGGAGGAGGAGGAGAGGGCCCTTCGTTTGCTGCTGGGCCGTTAGGGAGGCGAGGGCCTGTCGCTCCCCGCCGTCGTTAGGAGAGGGCCTCTCGTTCCCTGCCGTCGTTTTTTTGTTGCTGGGCCTTTTGTCGCAGCGGTGCAGCGGAGGCCAGTCCACAAGAAGCATTCCAAGGGCTCCCAACTTCGCGCTGGCGCGCTACGCGAAGCGCGGAGCGCGAAGAACTTCGCGCTGGCGCGCTGCCCCCCCAAGGGAGGCGAGGAGAAGAGGAGGAAGCGGAGCCAAACCGCGAAGCGCGAAGCGCGAATAACTTCGCGCCCTCGAGGGCGCCCTTGGATTCCACAAAAGAGGCCCAGCCCTGAGACCCCAGGACGTCCATGGATTTTTGTTTGCGCGGGAGCGGCAGGCTTGCCACAGCAAGACCATCGAAACCCGAGCAACCCGGGGCACCCTGGAGGCAAGCAGGGTGTCTCTTGGCATGGGCCCCCACTGTAGAGGGGGGGAGGAGGCACAGCGGAGGCCATGTCCACAGGAAACCTCCCACAAGAAACCCAACCCTAAAGACCCCAGGAGGTTGATGGAGTCTTGGTGTGGGAACTCCACGCCCTCCATCCGGGAAACCATCGAAACCCAATAAAAACCCAGGACGCCCTGAAGGCGAGCAGGGCGTTTTTTGGCATGGGCCTCCGCTGTAGGTGGGGCGCTGCCCCAAAGCGCACTCAGGTGCCTGAGACCCTCGACTCTGGCGTTGCGGCTCTGCTCCATCTCGGACCTCTCGCCCAGGATCGGGTGTTGCTAGAAGTGCCCCTGGCCCAAGGTGCCCCCAGCTTTTCGCTCGCTTTTGGCCTCGTGAGGGTGTGCTCTGGAGGCCGTGGGGGCCTCCTTGGACATCCTGGGGGCACCGTGGGCCAGGGGCGCTTCTAGCAACACCCGACAGTACAGTCGAGGTACTATCAGAAGGAACGCTAAATGAGGAACGAAGCCCCTTCTTGCCCCCAGAAGCGCGTGGGCGCACGAGGAGCGATGGAGGAGGAGCCATGGAAGAGCTTCAGAAACAGCGAGCCCCTTCCGCACCCGAGGCGTTCCTTCTCTCAGCGTCCTGGCTGCAGGCCGTTCCCTTCGCGCACGGGATCCTCCCGGCCGGCCCCGGGGTGCAGAGGCCGCCCCTGGAGGCCGGACGCGATGGAACGCGGGCGCCTCGGTTGCTCGACAGGCCGGGCGCCTGGGCCTGCGGACGCCTCTGGAAGCCACTGGCGGTCCTCAGACCGAGGCCGCGCTGACGGCGCGCTCGGTCAACGGTGCGGTTGGGAGGATTGTCTTCGTGGCGCCGAGCTCACGCGGCACAAAATGCAGGAAGTCACGAACTATCGCTCCCTGCATCTCAGCTGTGCGAATGCACCGAACGACAACGGCACAGCGAGTTGTGGGAGAACACGAACCACGCGTTCCTACAAGTGGTTTGGCCACGAACCACGCCGTCCTACAATTGGTTGTCCTACTTCGCCGTTAGCTAACACACCGTCAGCGCATCTACGGTAAGATTTGCCTCTGGAGACCTCCGGAGACTCACCAAAAATTAGTAGAACTGGAAGAACCTCAGCCCCTCTTCACAGCCGCTATCGAATATCTTGCAAAAGGACATACTTTGGCGGAGGCGATGTCGCCGGCGACGACGCCCGCGGCGATGGCGACGTCGGCGATGGCGACGTTGGCGACGGCGGTGGCGGCGGGGACGCCAACGGCAACGGCGCTGGCAAAGGCGACGGCAGCGACGACGTCGGCGGCTACGGCAATGACTACGGCGGCGGCGGCGACGACCACGGCGGCGACGGCGACAGAGGCGACGTCGACGACGACGACGACGGCGAAATCACACCATTGCTCTGTTCGAAATGATGGAAGCCTCGCACCCGGCACAAATGCAATGCTGAAGGGCGCGCCGCGGGCTGCTGGAATGATCGCGCTCGGAAGAGATGCGATGCTGGAGTGCGTCCTTGTTGTGAGCAGCCGAGCGGCCTCGCTCGAAAAGAAAGGCGCTGGAGCGATACACCCCCTTTTCTCTGAGCGGGAGAACAATAACAACAATACAAACAGCAGCGCCAGCAGCAGCAACAACAACAATCAGTTTGAGACTGTTCGCTCATATTTGCCCGAGTGGCATTCACCACGTATATCTCAAACCCTCGGTACCCGCCCTCGTCATCTTCGATCGTACCCCCTTGGTGGTATATCTTCCTTTCCTGTCAGGCGCATGTAGCGCAACCCCTAAAACAGAGGAAGGGAGGCCGGATGCAAGGCGGAGGGATAAGGATGGAGCACGAGAGAGATTAGCAAGAGTGGGGCCAGGAGCAGAAAACACACGGCAGAACCAGACGGGCAGATCGGGCGAGCAGACCCTAGCGGGCGGATCGGGAAGGCGGGACCAGGCGACCAGGTCGAGCAGGCGGGTTGCCGAAACGTGAATCCTGCATGAACCGCGAGGAAGTCCAAGGTCCGAGGCGAGAGCGCGATCCCAAGTTAATCACGAGAAAGGCCAAGGCGAGAGCGCGATCCCAGCACGGGAAGTTTGAGCGCCACCCAGTGCCTCCAGCGCCTCGGCGATCTTCGTGCCCCGGATGGCCTCCCCAGCGTTGGCGATGTCCGCCTGCGCCCTGTCAAGGCTGCCTGCGAGCTCCTTGAGGGCGGCTTCCACGTGCGCTCTCGCGGTCGTCACGGCGGCGACCTCGGCCTGCACGCTGTGTGCTGATATGCATGTGCAACGTCAAGTGCAAGCGCAAGTGTGCACACGTAGATCTGTACATGCACATGTATACATACGCGTGGTAAACCTTACATGGGGCAACACGCGTATTACATTGTATACTATACTAGCGTACATACGCGTGTAACGCGCGTATTCCATGTAGCATGCGCATTGCAGGCTCATGGAACGCACATCTTTGCGCATCGAGCACACAAGCTGTTTAAACCTACAGTCACATGGTATATGTTTACACGTCTATATGTGTTTACATACATACATATGTCTGCATATGTATATATATAAGTGTATATACATGTAAAAACCACATACAAGTGTATACACTAGAACCACGCGCGCGCTTCGCGCGTTTAGGTTCTAGCAAGCTCTAGTTGTAGTCCAAAGTCTTCAGTATCGGAAGACATAGATTGTCACACGGAGCCCGCTTTGGCGATTCTGGGCGCCTAGTGAACCGTCTTGGCGCGCTTGGCGTGTCCTGGAGACTTGTTGGGCGCCTCTTGTGTTGTTTCCGCGCATCGAGCAGCGGAGCAGGCGACCGCGCGAGAATCCTTGGAAAATCCACAAGAATCAACGACTTTCGCGCCTTGAGCCTGTCCCGGGGGCGCGCTTGAAGCCTTCTTGGTGCGCCTCGGAAGATCCCTGAGCCCGTATGGGAGCAATCATAAGCGTGTTGGGGCCGTTCTGGGGGGCCTGAGGGCTTGCCGTTCCAAAATGATGGTGTCGGGGCGTAAGGTGCGCGCTGGCTACTGGGGGGGGGTTGGGCTGGCTGCGGCGGGAGGGCGGGGAAGCGGGCGGGGCGCTGGTGCCGTGACGTAATAAGGGTTGCGGCGGAGAGGGCGCGCTGGCTAGTGGGGAGGAGGTGGGCTGGCTGCGGAGGGGGGGGGGCGGGCGCGGAACCGGTGCCGTGCCGAAATGAAGGGGTCGGGGAGGAAGGGGCGCGCTGACGGCGCGCAGCGAAACATTCAGAAAACCAAAAATGTTGAGACATTATTCCCCACATCCAAAGTGGGGTTATTGTTTCCTCTGGCCACCACGCGCAGGAACATGAACCCACCATCATCATCATCATCATCATCATCATCATCACTCATTCCTCACTCACTCACTCACTCACTCACTCACTCACTCACTCACTCACACACTCACTCACTCACACACTCACTCACTCACTGACTCATCAGCACTCACATATGATGATGATGAGTGTGCGCGTGAGAGAGTGAGATGATGATCATCATCATCACCAGTCAGTCAGTCACTAACTCACTCACTCACTCACCTTGGGCTTCGTCTGTGAATGAATTATGAGGAAGTCTCAGGCGGGAGCCCCCTCCCTATAGGGCCCGCGGATTATGGCACTAATCCGAGCGGGTCGTCGGAAACTTGTAACTGTCGTCACTTTTGGGTTCCTCAGGCCTGGGGGCCTCGCCTGTGAGTAAATTGCGAGGAAGTCTCAAGCGGAAACCCCTCCTTATGGGGCCCGCGGATTATGTTACTAATCCGAGCGGGTCATCGGGATCCTGTAACTGTCGTCACTTTTGGGCTCCTGAGGCTTGAATCTGGAGGAAGTCTCAGGCGGGGGCCTCGCCTGTGAGTAAATTGCGAGGAAGTCTCTGGCGGGAGCCCCTCCCTATGGGGCCCGCAGATCATGTTACTAATCCGAGCGGGTCATCGGGATCCTGTAACTGTCATCACTTTTGGGCTCCTGAAGCCTGAATCTGGAGGAAGTCTCAGGCGGGAGCCTCGACTCTGAGTAAATTGCGAGGAAGTCTCAGGCGGTAGCCCCCTCCCTATGGGGCCCGCAGATCATGTTACTAATCCGAACGGGTCGTCGGATTCCTGTAACTGTCGTCAATTTTTGGGCTCCTCAGGCCTGAATATGGAGGATGTCTCAGGCGGGAGCCTCGTCTGTGAGTGAATTGCAAGTGAATTCGTGCTTCCAGAACACCACTCTCCCAGGCCACATTTTGAATGCCCGGAGCCAACTGTAGGCCACTTCGTGTTCGTCGTTCCCAGAGCGCTATTCCCAGCACGTATCCACTGGGACGCACCCCTGTGCGCTTCCTCTGGGTCGTGCCCCCGCACGTATCCACTGGGACGCACCCTGTGCGCTTCCTCTGGGTCGTGCCCCCGCACGTATCCACTGGGACGCACCCTGTGCGCTTCCTCTGGGTCGTGCCCTCGGCACGTATCCACTGGGACGCACCCCTGTGCGCTTTCTCTGGGTCGTGTTCCGGCACGTATCCACTGGGACGCACCCTGTGCGTTTCTTCTGGGTCGTGTTCGGCACGTATCCAATGGGACGCACACCTGTGCGCTTCCTCTGGGTCGTGCCCCCGCACGTATCCACTGGGACGCACTCCTGTGCGCTTTCTCTGGGTCGTGTTCCGACACGTATCCACTGGGACGCACCCCTGTGCGCTTCCTCTGGGTCGTGTTCGGCACGTATCCATGGGACGCACCCCTGTGCGCTCCTCTGGGTCGTGCCCCCGCACGTAACCACTGGGACGCACTCCTGTGCGCTTCCTCTGGGTCGTGTGCCGGCACGTATCCACTGGGACGTACCCTGTGCGCTTCTCTGGGTCGTGTTCCGGCACGTATCCACTGGGACGCACTCCCGTGCGCTTCCTCTGGGTCGTGCTCTGGCACGTATCCACTGGGACGCACTCCCTTCCGCTTGAGACATCCTCGCAACTCTGGGTTCCGACACGCCCCGGGGTAAGGTGTTCAGGCAGCTTTCGTTCGAAGCCCGCGGGATTGTCCCAACGTTTTGGTCTTGCGCGCCAGCGGCTCGCGGGGTTGTCCCGAATGCCTGGCCCGCGGGGTTGTCCCAACGGCTGCGCGACGCGGCCATCAGAGAACGCGCCAGTCCAGTGCTGGCCGAGGCGGCGACGGCGCCGAGGAACATCCACTTGCTTGCCCCGCCCAGGGGGAAGGGGAGGTGCACGTAGAGAAGCGGCAGGAGGAAGATGAGGAGGGGGAGGGTATGGGGGAGGGCGATGATAGGGAGGAGGTGGAGAAGGAGGAGGGGGAGGTAGACGGAGGGGGAAGGGAGAAATAGAAGAAGGAGGGAAAACAGAAGGCAGAGGAGAGGGCGAGAGGAGGGTGTTTGCCATGGCCAGGAGGAAAGGGAGAAGGGCACGCAAAACAGAGTATCATGTGGGGTCCTTCCGTCGGAATAATTTTTTAAACAAGCCATGCGGACCAATGACACGCGCAATTCGAACAGTTCAACCATCATCGCACGCCCACCGACTCTGTCAAATAATATGATGCGTGCGCGCACGTCGCAATGGCGTCAAAACACTTGGTTTCCTTACCATTTCAGCAAAGATGTGTTCAACAAACACGAAAGCCCAATGCTTCTCAGTAGAAGCATGACGGGGTGTTGGGATCTGCGCGGGCGCGCACTTCCTCATCGTCCTCTTCGACACCATCCTCATCATCATCAGCGTTATAATCACCATTGTTAGCACCGAGTTGAAAATACATGATTCGCGGGGTGGGGTTCTTTCGCGGAGCGATTGCTTTCGCTCCGCACCATGCCGCAACAAACAACTAATTATTGTCCCCCGCCCCCCCTTCCACCCCTTCCACCGCAAGTGCTCCTTCTGTTTCCTTCCTTCCGTCCGCAAGCTATTGGGTAGTCCCTCCTTCCTCTTCCTCCTCCTCCTCCTCCTCCTCCTCCTCCTCCTTCTCTTTCCAGCTCGTCGCCCCTTCTGTACGATTCCGAGTGCAAGCCCCAATGAGAAATTCATGTTCGCCAGCCGTCCTAGGGGGCGGTCTACCCCGGGGTATCGCCCCCGCCCTGCACGGAGCGTTAGCTTAGCACTGACGAGCGCCGAAAAGAATTGATTCCCGCCCGCGGAATTGATTCCCGTCCGCGACGGAGCGGTAGAAACACTCAGTGAAAGAAGTCGTAGTAGAAATATTAATAGTAGCAGCAATAGTCGTAGAAGGAATAGTCGTAGAAGAAGTAGTAGTAGTAGTAGTAGCAGCAGTGGCAGTAACAATAATAGTAGTAGTCGTCGTCGCAATGGAAGTAGCCGTAAGAGTAGTAGTAGTAGTACGTACGTACGTGTGGTAGTGGAAGTAGTAGTAGTAGTAGTAGTAGTAGTAGTAGTAGTAGTAGTAGTAGTAGTAACAGTAGTAGTAGTAGTAGTAGTAGGAGCAGTAGTAGTAGTAGTACTAGTAGTACTAGTAGTAGTAATCGTTGTAGTAGTAGTAGTAGTCGTCGTCGTAGTGGTAGTAGTACTAGTAGTAGTAGTAGTAGTAGTAGTAGTAGTAGTAGCAGTAGTAGTAGTAGTAGTAGTAGTAGTCGTAGTAGTAGTAGTAGTAAAAGTAACAGTAACATTAAAAGTAAAGTAGTACTAGCCGTAGTAGTAGTAGTCGTAGTCCTCGTCGTAGTAGTAGTAGTAGTAGTCGCAGTCGTAGGGTCGAATAATAAAATTGGTATTAAGAGAAGCAGTGGTAGTAGAAGTCGTCGTCGGCGTAGCAGTGGTGGGGGTAGTCGGACTTTAACTCCTAGTGGTAGTCGTAGCATTAGCAATAGCAGGTGCACTGGTAGCAACAAAAGTACTAGCACTAGTCGAAATAGCCGTAGTAATCGTGATAGAAGAAGAAGAAGTAGTAGTAGTAGAAGTAGAAGTAGCAGTAGTAGTGGTAGTAGAAGGCGGGTAGTAGTAGTAGAGTAGTAGTAGTAGTAGTAGTAGTAGTTGTAGTAGTAGTAGTAGTAGTAGCAGTAGCAGTAGCAGTAGCAGTAGCAGTAGCAGTAGTAGTAGTAGTAGTCGTAGTAGTAGCCATTAACAAAGTAGCAGCGCTGGTAGTAGCAGTAGTAGTAGTAGTAGTAGTAGCAGTAGTAGTAGTTGTAGTTGTAGTAGTAGTAGTAGTAGTAGTAGTCGTCGTCGTAATCGTAGCCGCAGTCGTAGTAGTAGAAGTAATGAAAAGCGTACGGGTCGTAGTAGTAGTCGTCGTAGTAGTAGTGGTAGTGGTAGTAGCAGTAGTAGTAATATCAGTAGTAGTCATAGTTGTAGTATCAATGGTAGTCGTAGTAGTAGAAGTAGTCGTAGTCGTAACCGTAGCTATAGACGAAGTAATAATAGTAGTCGTAGTAGTACTTGTTGCAGCAATCGTTGTAATAATAACAGACACATTTAATGGAGTTGTAGCAGCAGTCGTAGTACAACTGGTAGCACAAGTGACAGTGGTACCAATGGTTATAGTAGCAATGATCGTAGCAGTAGTAGTAGCAGCAGCACCAGTAGTAGCAGTAGTAGACGTAGTAGTAGTAGTAGTGGCAGTCGTCGCAGTAGTAGTAGTAGTAGTAGTAGTAGTAGTAGTAGTAGTAGTAGTAGTAGTAGTAGTAGCATCAGTAGTACCAGTGGTAGTAGTAGAAGAAGAAGTAGTAGTAGTTGTAGTAGTAGTAGTAGTAGTAGTAGTAGTTAAAGTAGTAGTAGTCGTCGTAGTAGTAGCAGTAGTAGTGGTCGTAGTAGTAGTAGTAGTAGTAGTAGTAGTAGTAGTAGTAGTAGTAGTAGTAGTCGTAGTAGTAGTGGTAGTAGTAGTAGTAGTAGTAGTAGAAGTAGTAGTAATCATCAAAATTATGACACTAGACAGTGTCTCTACTTTCGAGGGTTGCTGGGGGCTCCCGAGGATTGCCATGCAACGCCCAAGCGCCAGGGTGCCAGCCAGGGTAACGCTTCAGGGTGCCCGGTGCGTTATCGTTTCGCCGGGAAGGAGGGGGGGTCGTGATGGCTTTTACGGGGTTGTCATCATCATCGCCATCGTGAGGATCATCACCACCGCCGTATTCGTCGACATAGTCGATGGAGTCGCCTTTGTCAAAATTTGGCGTGCGGGCACTTCGACATCATCATCACCAATACCATCCATCAACATCATTGCCAATGTCATCCTTGCCTCGTCGTTGACATCGCCATCAGCTGCACTGCAACACAATCACCATCGTCGTCGTTGTCGTCGACATCGCCCTCACTGCGGCCATCAACATCACTAGCGTAATCGCCATCGTTGACGTCGCCGGCCACTATGGCGTTGCCGAAAAGTTCCGGGTGGGTGGGTGGGGCACTTGCGCCGCACAGCTTGCACCGCTTGTTGGCACCACGCAGCTTGCCCCACATCGATTGCACCACGTTGCTCGCATCACAATCAAATGCACCACACGGTTTGCACCTCATGGCTTACATCCTGCACAATACAGATTGCACCACGTAGTTTGCGCAAAATAGCCTGCACCAAGATGTTGTGCCACGCAGATAGCACCACTTTGATTGCACCATATCGCTTTTCAAATCAGGGTGCAAGGACGCACAATTCGGGGTCCACGCTGGCGAAGGCACATGTCTATAGGCATGTATACAGGTGTGTATGAATACATACACGTAAAAAGATGTGCGTCAGCGCGCGTGTGCTTATAACCGTAAGCGGTCCAGCGGGGATACAAATTCCGCCGCCACAAGATTTCTAAGCTTTCCTGGGGGCTCCTCAGTGCGCCCCACATCATAGAGCCGACATCGGAATCGCCTCGCAATCATAGTACACCGACTGCCAGATGCCCCATGAAGTATACATGTACACGTGAATGTATATACCTTGACATGCATGACGGCACAAATGGTCTTATGCATGATGGAATACGGGGGCGCGTATACAGATGTGGGTATCCGAAGGTATACATGTATACACATGTGTGTGCAACATGCATGTGAAATATCTGGATGTGCATTTGTGTATGGGGGGGCATGCGTATATGTACATGCAAATATGTGTATTTATGAACCCGTGGCAAACATGCGGGCCTTATTCCATCACGCTTTGAAAGCCACGGTCGACATTAATCAAGCGGAACGCGCCAACTCCAGCCAGGCTTCGGCCCAGAGGTGCCCGAACCCCTTGCCCTCGAATCCCAGAGCGCCAGGGACAACGAGTATGGCTTGCCCTCGACCGCATACGCGCTAGGTGTGTACTCTATATGCAAACGCATATACATACACACGTGTACGAACACAAGCCTTCATTCGCGCTTCGCGCCATGCACCTTGGTCCCTAACATCTTGCATGCAAGCAAACGGACAGGAAAATAAAACACAACAATTAGCGATAACGCCGTGTTGGGTTGTTCGACATCGTCGTAGTAATAATCTTGCGCGTCATCCTTCCATCATGATTCCTCGTCCTCTGCCTTGATCTTGCCCTACGCTGCGTATTTTCCACCATCCTCTTCAGTTCTTTTCGCGAAGGTTCCTGCTTGGAGAGCCTCTTGGGTGGGTGGCTAACGAAAGTGTTTCAAACTGCTCAGAGTCTCCTGGGCACCTTCTGGGGCCTCAGAAGGGTTCCTTAGGCAACCCTGCTTCTAATCGCGGTCTCCCTGAACGGCCAGGTCACAATTTCGAATGCTTCAGGGGGCGTCTTGGGGCCATCTAGGGTCGTCATGGAGCTCTGTTCGGGCAATATTTGTTGGACCGTCTTGGAATTGTCTTAGACTGCCTGGAGGAGCTTATGGGTAACGATCGTTGGGCCTCCTGGGCGGTCTCGGACGTCCGGAAAAAGGAAGATGGAAGAGCAGAGCAATTCCCAAAGTATGCCAAGCCCGATTAAACCATAAAGTTTTCTCTGCGTTTCGAAAGCGTCTTGAGGGTGCTCTTTGGGTCGTCTTCGGGCGCCTGGTCAAGCAGGCTCCAGGGGCCACGGATCTGGGAGGTCCCGTTGTGGGGGGGGAGGTATACACATGTGTATACCGCTTGACGTGTATATAAAAATACATATATATATATATATAAGCAGCTCAAATAGTCAATTGCATCTACATTCGTAAAACGTATGGCTGCATGCGCGCATGTGCTCGCAGAGTTTCCGACACATTACATGTTCATATGTAACTGCGCACTGCCGGTCACATATGCGCATCAAGACTTACCTGAAGCATACATTTGGACGGAAGCCGCCTGCAAGCTCAAGCTGCCATTGCTCCATCTGCGCGACGACTGCCTCGAGTCGGCCCGAAACTGCGCGCTCCCGCACGCCAGCCTGCTCGCGCCATCACTGGAGGACCGGGCGCTCCCGCCCGAGAGCGTCACGCGGAGCTTGTTGCCCTGCCTCTTCGGCGACTCCCCGGCGGCCGCCATTGCCTCCGCGCACCCTGGAGACGCGGGCACCTGGGGCGGGGATGGCCAAACGTGCACCTCTCGCGCACCTGCGGGGCCCCAGGGGAGCCCTCAGGGGCCCCTCGTGGCAGGACCTGAGGCAAAGCGGGTGCCTTCCGAACCCGAGCTGCTCCCTACTCCTTGGGCGCTGCTCGGTGGGGGGCGATACACCCAGACACCCAACTTTTGCGACGCCAGGCACGGCCTCCAGGGGACCCGACAGCGAGGCGGTCCCCCCCTCCCCCTTCCTCGATGCCGCGCCCGCTTGCCACCGCTCTTGCTGCTCTCTGCTCTTGTCTGTTTCTCCCCTCTTGCGCCGCAGTTGCCTCACCCGCTTCTGCCTCGTCCTCCCCTGAGGAGGAGGAGGAGGAGGAGGAGGAGGAGGAGGAGGAGGAGGAGGAGGAGGAGGAGGAGGAGGAGGAGGAGGAGGGGAGGAAGAGGGGGAGGGGGAGGGGAGGGGGAGGAGGAGGGGAGGGGGAGGAGGAGGAGGAGGAGGAGGGGGGTGGCGGGGCAGGACAGGCGGGGCGCCCGCTGCCTGCAGCGCTCGATCTGCGCGCAGGGGAGGCGAGGACGCCGCGCGCTCTTCTCCCGGCAGGCGCCGAGCGCGCGCGCGGTGCCCCCCCCCCCCCCCGCCTGTTACCAGCCTCGAACTTATTCCTATCCCTAAGATTGGCACGCCAAAAGGCGATGACAATCTTAGGGATGCGTCCTCGAAAAATCAGGGAATCCCTAAGATTGGCATCGTGATGAGGAGGTGCCCTGCATAGGGATAGGGATATGTTCCAGGCTGGTAAGCCTGGGCCCCGGCGACCTGGCCCAGCCCCGCCCAAAGCCCTGGCAGGAGCGACCTCTCGGCTTCCAGGGCGGCCACAGGTGGGAGGCACAGGGACACACTGCCACTAGATGTCCTCCCTGGAGGCGCGCGTCCGACCCGAACATGTAGTAGACCCATCTTGTGGTATATCGTTTCCCCGAGCGGCGTGGCCAGAAAGCGCCCGCTACGACGCATGTACTAGAAGATTTCTCGGTGCGCGCGTCGCCCCTGGGGGGGCGACGCACATATAGTATAAGTATGTTGGGGTGGCGCCGAACAGACATGACCCAGGATGAAAAACGGTCCAGGGGAAACATCAAAAAAGGGACTGGACTGTGCGAACACACAACTTACGGCCTCGGAGATCTGAAGACCCACGGTGACGGGAAGGAGCCGATCAACCAACATGTTATGCGTGCTGACTGTGGTGCCCTTTCTTCGCACGCACAATGGCAAGAACACGGATAGCCGCACCAAACAAGACGCCTGCCTGCCAGGCAGCACCCACCGAAAAATATTTGACGCACGACGGGCCCGAGGGCCCCTTGGGCACCATGCAAGACTCACCGGCGAGGAAGTATGTGCGCCCTTAGACTGCAGATAACAACAAGTCGTACCTAAGGCTTCACATTATGCCATGTCCGCGGCCTGTTACATGTCAACGTGCTTTCAACTCAGGCCTAGCTGCAGACAGCAGTTTGGGAAGCCAATCCTGACTTCAATGGAAACCAAAACAACCAACAGAAATAACGAAACAGCTGAACAGTTCTCCATCACCGTTCCCCGAACAGCGCTCACCAAGATGGAGGAGGCCCAGCTCGTGGTGCGCAAGAGCTTGGGAAACAAAAACAATGACGAGCTCCAAACGGCGGCGTATCATTCATACTCGTTTTCCCTCCCGAAGAGCGACGCCTACTCCTCCTCATCCTACTCATCCTCCTCTCCTTGTCCTCGTCCTCCTCCTCCTCAGACCGTCGTCGCCCTCCTCCTCCTGCTCCTCAGACCGTCGTCGTCCTCCTCCTCCTCCTCCTCCTCCTCCTCCAACCTTCTCTTCGCTCCTACTCCTCCTCCCTCCTCCTCTCCTCCCTCCTCTCTCCTCCCTCCCCCTCCTCCTCCTCCTCCTCCTCCTCCTTCTCCTCCTCCTCCTCCTCCTCCTCCTCCTCCTCCTCCTCCTCCGCCCTCCTCCTCCGCCATCCTCCTCCGCCATCCCTCTCTGCCGCAGGGCCTGAGGCGGAGAGAGCCCCGCGCAGATCAGCCGGCACCGAGCTGGCCGCACGGCGGCGGCGGTGGCATCAGCCGCCCGGGCGAGCGCGGGAGAGCTCGGGCCGCGCGCCGCCTCCCGCGGAAGGTGCGGGGCGCGGGGCCTCGAGCCTCTGAGATTCCCGTTGGGGGGCATTCGCTCTTCTCCTCCTCCTCCTCCTCCCGCTCCTCCTCCTCCTTCGCCTCCTCCTGCTCCTCCTCCTGCTCCTCCTCCTCCTCCTCCTTTTCCTCCTCTTCCTCCTCCTCTCCTCCTCCTCCTCCTCCGCCTCCTCCTCCTCCTCCTCCTCCTCCTCCTCTCACTATTACTACAAGTGGTATTAGCACTATCAGTATTCATGGTATTCGTAGTACTATTACTCTGAGTATTATTCTTCTTCCGATTATGCTTATTTTCCATACTATAACTGTTAGTGTTAGTATGCGTCTTCTTCATATTATTATTACGATTATTATTGTTCCTCCTCCTCCTCCCACTCGTCTCCTCCTGCTCCGCCTCCTTCTCTCCTCCTCCCCCCTCCTCCTCCTCCTCCTCCTCCTCCTCTCCTCCTCCTCCTCCTCCTCTTCCTACCCCTCCCCTCCTCCTCCTCCTCCTCCTCCTTCTCCTCCTCCCACTCCATCTTTTCCTCCTCCTCCTCCTCTTCCTCCTCCTCCTCCCTCCTCCGCCTCCTCCTCAGCTTCACAGATGGAAGGCGGGTCGTTTTCAAAATGTTGTTCTCGCCTGAGCGCCGTGCACACTCGTTACAAGCATGCAAGACTTTCACGGATTGAAGGCGGGTGGTTTTCAGCATGTGGCTCTCGCCTTGGCGCCGCGCACATTCGTTTTCAAAGCTTGCCACAGTTTCACGGATTGAAGGCGGTTGGTTTTCAAAATGTGGCTCTCGTCTTAGCGCCGCGCACATGCTTGTAAAACTTTGCAGGAACTTCGCGGATTGAGGGCGGGTTTTTCAAAATGTGACTCTCGTCTTAGCGCCGCGTACATTCGTTTTGAGGGCGGGTGGTTCTCAACATGTGGCTCTCGTCTTAGCGCCGCGCACATTCGGTTCAAAACTTCGCAAGAGCTTCACAGATTGAGGGCGTGTGGTTCTCAAACTGTGGCTCTCGTCACAGCGCCGCGCACATTCGATTTAACAATGTGCAAGAGCTTCACGGATTGAGGGCGGTTCCTTTACAACATGTGGCTCTCGTCTCAGCGCCGCGCACATTCGTGTTACAACTTTGCAAGAGTGCCACGGAATCCCATGATCAGCGTACCAGATGTGGTGTGTTGGAAGGGATCCGGATTATGCGGGCGCAACAGTTATGTCGATTCGCTGTGTTGAAGTTCTACAAATGGCGTTACGGCACGATTCTGTATCGTCAAGACGCAGCAGTCAGGTTGACACGTGGCATTGAAATCCCGAGAAAAATGTTGTGGCATGCTTCAAGATCTTCAAACTGTTGTCTTCCAACGAGGCAGTTCCCTCAATGGAAATGAACCGTTGTAGGGGCCAATGAAGAGGGAGCTTGGAGGGAGGGTTCTATCCAACATCGTTATCGTTGATGACTCTTGGATTTCCACTGGTCCTCCTCCTCCTCCTCCTCCGACTCCTCCTCCTCCTGCTCCTCCTTCTCCGCCTCATCCTCCTCCTCTTCCTCCTCCTCCGGGAGGAGGATAGCCGGCGGAGCAACCCGGTCATGACCCCCCCCATCCCTCCTGCGAGGGGCAACGACAGGTTGGGACTGGCATAGGGGGGGGACGCATCGACCTGGAATCGGCGATACGTCGCCGATAGGTCGGCGATGGGCCCCCGATAGCGAGACCGCGCCTTCCTGGGCGGGTTGGGGCTATCGGCCCCCCATCGGCGATCCATGGGCGAGAACCCATAGGGGCCCGCTAACCCCAACCCAGGGCTGAGATCTCGGTTCTCGGGCTGGGAGGTTCACCGTAGGTCGGGCATGTCCTCCTGCAGGCGGATTTGGGAAGAAACGCAAAAAGTAGTCAACAATTCACGAACACAAAAAACACAAAACATCGTCGCCAGGCTATTCTCGGGGGCGGCCAAAAGGGGGGCGTCAAAGAGGGGGGCGCGCAAATCATGACCAGCGGCATGTGCCCGGCCCAGGGGGGCCAGGGACGGAATGAAAGAAGAAGGGGCGCCATGAAATCTGGGGAGACATCATGGCCCTCGCCATGATACCCACCACCCGTAGTCATCACCGCCCTCTTTGCCGCCCCCGATATTTTTTGACCATTGGAGGGACACGCCCGACTGAAGCTCCACCGCGCCTTCCAGAGCGGGCTGGAACCGCCGGCCCCTGCCCGGCGAGGTCCATGGGCGAGCGCGACCGGGGGGGAGACACGCTCCCCCCCCCCCCCCCCCCGCGCCCCTTCTGCCACCGGGGCGGCCAGCCCGAGCACGTCGGGGGCCCTCCGCGTCTGGGCGCTCGTCGTCGTCGTCCTCCGTCGTCGTCCTCCTCCTCCTCCTCCTCCTCCTCCTCCTCCTCCTCCTCCTCCCCATCCTCCTCGTAGTCGGCGTCTTTCTCCTTCTCCTCCTCCTCCTCCTTCCTCCTCCTCCTCCTCCCTCTGTTCCTCCTCCTCCTCCTCGTCCTCGTCCTCCTCCTTCTCATCCTCCTCCGCCTCCTCGTCGTCTTCGTAGTTGTCGTCCTCGTGTCATCGTCGTCGTCGCCGTCGTAGTCTTCGGTGGGAACTCATGGGAGCCTTCCATACCATCTTGTCGGCTCTTGTGAATCGACGCTAGTCAACGCTAGATCGACGCTAATTGACGCTAGATCGACTAATCGACGCTGGTCGACGCTAAATCGGGATATCCCATCGACTCCCATACTCTAATCGACGCTAGTCGACGCTAAATACGGAATTAAGAGGGTGCACCTGGTACCCCATGATTTGCTACCGAGGTAGTCGTTGTCCTTGTGTCGCCGTCGTCCTCGTTGTCGTCGTCGTCGTCGCCGCCCAGAGTGAAAAACCAAAACACACACCCATATGAAGGGGCCCTGGGACACACAAATAAACACACACACAAATAAAAGGATTCCCCCATATTTTCCCATATGTTCTGGGTTTCTGTCTTCCCCCCACTTTCCATATTTTCCCATATTTTCTGAGGAATCGACGCTTCATTGTGTCTGTGTGTTTCTTCCCTCCTGGACACAGTCCGAGATCTACTGCTCAGCATGTCGCCGCGGCGGCCGTCGCTCCGCCCAGCGGGGCGGCAGGCTGGGAAAGGCCCGGGACATGGGCGCCCGGGTGCCGGGCCGTGGACGGCGGGTCGCGCCGCAGCGTGGGGGGCCAGCACCGGCGGGACGCCTCGCGAAGCCAGAATGCCTGGCCGTGTGGCCCACACCGGGGGGAGGGAAGGAGAGGGACGAGGCGGGGGAGGGGAAGAAGACAAGCTGGGTTCGCTCGCGTCATATCTGACATCCTACCCCTCCCTCCCATCCCTTACCATAGCGCAGATCCCCTCTCTACTCGCACAGTCGGATGTCGAGCAGGGCAATGATCCCGAAAGTGTACGCGATGCGTTGTAGAGCACGGCATGGCATGGCGTAGAAGAGCACCGCAAAGCGCACTATCAACCTAGCATTGCATTTCATGCCGTGGCATGGCACGGGAAATGACGCCAGCGCTGCAGCGGGAGCACGAGTCGAAACGAGCGGAAGCGCGGAAATGAGGCCAGCGCTGCAGCGGGAGCACGATTGGGAACGAGCGGAAGCACGGAAATGAGGCCAGCGCTGCAGCGGGAGCACGATTCGGAACGAGCGGGGCCCGAAAATGATGCCGGCGCCTCAGCGAGAGCAGCATTTTGAAAAAAATGCCTGTGTGAAAAAACAATACGCGGGGGGGGGGGGTCGGACACTTTCAGACCGTCATCAGGGGAAGAGGGAGCGTAGTATTCATATTGAGTAATAATAAAAGAAGAAGAATGAGGACGCGGAGGAGGGGCATGAGCTGATTTCGCCGGCGCTGGTTTCGCCGGTGCTGGTTTCGCCGGCGCAGGTTTCGCCGGCGGCTGGTTTCGCCGGCGCTGGTTTCGCCGGCGCTGGTTTCGCCCCGCTGGTTTCGCCGGCGGCTGGTTTCGCCGGCGCTGGTTTCGCCAGCGCAGGTTTCGCCGACGCGAGCCCCCACGGGCGGGTCGGGTCGGGCGGGCGGACCCTAGCGGGTCGGGTCGGGTCGGGTCGGGCGGGCGGTCCCTAACGGTCGGCTCGGGTCGGGCGGGCGGGACATCAAAGTGCGGGGCGCGCTCAACCGAGCATGCGAACCCCCACGGGCGGGTCGGGTCGGGCGGACGGACCCTAGCGGGCGGGTCGGGTCGGATCGGGCGGGCGGACCCTAACGGGTGGGTCGGGTCTGGCGGGCGGGAAAAAAAAACGCGAGGCGCGCTCGACCGAGCACGCGCGAACCCTAACGGGCGGGTCGGGTCGGGCGGACGGACCCTAGCGGGTCGGGTCGGGTCGGGCGGACACTGACGGGCGGGTCAGGTCGGGCGGGCGGGACATCAAAGTGTGGGGCGCGCTCGACCGAGCACACGCGAACCCGAACGAGCGGGTCGGGTCGGGCGGGCGGACCCTAGCGGGCGGGTCGGGTCGGGCGGGCGGACCCTGACGGGCGGGTCGGGTCGGGCGGGCGGGACATTCAAAAGCGGGGCGCGCTCGACCGAGCACGCGCGAACCCTACCGGGCGGGTCGGGTCGGGCGGACGGACCCTAGCGGGCGGGTCGGATCGGGCAGTTTCGCCGACGGCAGCTGGTTTCGCCGATGGCAGCTCGTTTCGCCGACGGAGCTGGTTTTGCCGACCGAGCTGGCTTCGCGGGGCGGCGAAACCAGCCGGGCGAAACAAGCCGGGCGAAACTAGCTGGGCGAAACCAGCTGTCGGCGAAACCAGCGGTCGCCAGAGGAGGAGGAGGAGGAGGAGGAGGAGGAGGAGGGGGAGGAGGAGAAGAAGGAGGAGGTGAGGAGGAGGAAGAGCAGGAGGAGGAAGAGAAGGAGAAGGAGGAGGAGGAGCAGGAGGAGCAGGAGGAGCCCCCTCCTCCTGTCCCCTGCGCCTCGCCCTCCCCCGTGCTCTCTCCTGCGGCGTCGTGTGTTTTTCGAGACCTGCTTCCCCCCCCCCGCCCCGTTCTGCGTTTTCCTACTCGTTCCCAACACACGTGCGCCGAAGCTCTCCAGAAGCTCCGTCGAGACTCTCTCGAAGACCCTTGGATGATTGCTTCTGGAAGCTCGCAGGCTCCCAAAACAGGTCTTCCAGTTCCCGGATAGCTCCTTGGAGAGCTGAGAGGGTGTAGGCAAGAAGCCAGCAGGCAGGACCCCGTCGGGCTCTCGGCCCCACTCATGGTGCTCATTTTTCGCTGCAGATTCAGGTGCCACGGAGCACGGCAACAGCCCACGGGGTTGACATTGGGAAACACTGCTCGGCGTTTCTCGTCGCGAGGCGTGGAAGTTTTTTAAGCCCCCATTCCTTGTTGCTGGGCGGCTTCCCTGGCTTACGAACCCCTTTTTTCTGGAGAGCGGTATACCCGCCACCTCCCCAGGTCGCGATTCTTTCAAGACGCGCGAGTCTGAGATTCCCCCAGGCAAGCGCATCCAGAGGCACAAGAAGGGCGCCCTCCCCCAACAAAATCTGCTCTTATCCCGCTCCCCTGCCCTCTCCCCATCCAATGTCCTCCTCCTGCTTCTGCCCCTGCTCCTGGTCCTGCTCCTCCATCTTCCCGTCACGTTCCCTGTTCTATTCCTCCTCCTTCCCCTCCCCCAGCCCCTCCTTCCCGCCATGGGCCAACCCCTCTTGCGATGATCCCTGGCCGGACATACCCGACCGTCCGGGCCCCAGCGCCGGCTCCCCCCTCCCAGTCCGGGACTCTGCATAGCATGGAGAGCTGCTCGAGCATGAACTCGAACGGCCGCTGTGGCCTGTGAGGGCTCGGCGGTGGACAAACCTCCCTTTAGCAAACCTCCCTTTCGTGAAAACGGCCTGGGACCGAAGCCGACGGGCCCGGACCCGCAAAAATGACGGCCGCGACGCCCTCTCGCGAACCGACAACGGCCAATTCCTGAATCGACGCGTCAGGGTAGGAGGTCGATTCGCCCCCGAGAGACGGGGAGGGGGAAGGGTCCAGA